CGTAGCTGGCTCAGCGCCACGTAGCTGGCTCAATTTTTTTAGCGAAAAAAAAAAAGAAAAAAAAAAACCTCGCAGAAATTGAGCCGGCTACATGCCCTTGAGCCGGCTCGCCAATGCGTCATGAACCCGGCCAATACATAGCTAGTATTCGTTTTGATGCTCTCACATTCGTCCGCCAGCTCAACGTGACGTAGCTGGCTCAATTTCTGCGAGTTTTTGTTTTTTTTTCGCTAAAAAAATTGAGCCAGCTCGATGCCATTGAGCTAGCTCGATGCCCCTGAGCCAGCTACGTGGCATTGAGCGAGCTCGATGGTGCTGAGCCAGCTCGTTGCAGTTGAGCGAGCTCGCAGAAACTTCCCAATCTGTTAAATTGCATTAAATTGCCAGGTTCAATCCCCACTGATTACTTTAGTACTAGATATGGTACCTCTGAAAAAGCCCAAGGTGACTGTCAAAACATACCCCTGATGAAATTGAGCCAGCTACATGTTTTGAGCTAGATCGAAAAAATGGAAGATTGGGAATTCCAACATTCAATAAGTATATGTACCCTCTGGTAATTTAACATAGCTATTGAAAATGACCATTTATAGTGGATTTTCCCATGAAAACTGATGATTTTCCATAGTTGTGTAAACGTTTACCAGAGGGTAAATTTCCTCAAAATACCCAGCTCGATGGACATGTTTCACCACGTCTGCCTGGTGTGTTCATCCCAAGCCAGGAAAGGTTCGTTTTTTTGGCAGCGCAGGCGCTTCGCCGCGCCAACGTTTGTCGGGATTCCTTGTGCTATTGCATCTATTTGTCATACAAAATCCCAATAGGAGTGTAACATGTCCGTTCACACCGAGTGTATAGATCATATTAGATCATTACCATGCAACGTTTGTGTAAATAAAGGCGGCGTACGACGCACTCCCCCACTTTTGGGGCAACAAACACATCCGTTGACTGGTCAATTTGTAGATGACATGCTCCTTTAGTACAGTAAATCCCGTCTTAATTCTTGTTGGGTTTTGGGTTGTTCCATTTCTTTAAATAGAAGCAATCCCTGCAACGAAACATAGACCCTGTCAAATCGGGGCTTGGAAGACTACTTTCCTCCAAAGAAATCTAAAGAATGGGTTCTAAAGGTCGGGCTATTGGAGGATGGCATGCCCATATTACTATTATCCAGCTGGTACCCTCCAGTAATCAAACATGGCCAGCATGGAGCTGACTACCGGAGGGCAAATCCTATTGTACTATCATTATTTTTGGTGAAATCCCCATTGAAATACCAATCAACCAGATCACCATTGGTTATATACACATGAAATATCATGAAATAATATCATAAAATATCATGACATATCCTCGTTAGACATCGTGTTGTAAAGCTCCCAATTATACATCTTCCCCACATCCCCAACATTTGCAACCACCAATCAGATCATCATTGGTCCTGCTGTTGCCGTTGGCGCTTAGGCCGCTGGAGGGTCTCCAAACATGGCGGCAAGGACTCACCATGCTGGTAGCAGGGGATATCACGATGGGAAAACGTGGGGATATCTAACCAACAAATGTTGGGATAGGATGAACTAGAATTGCGAAACTTGAAACTTGGATAGAATTGGCCAGAATCGGGATTAAACCACAGTACACATTCGGATTGACAATTTGTTTAAAACCAATAAACTTGGGTGAGATTGCCACAGTTCATCTTCTGGTCGTATGAATCAAGTGATTCAGAACCACACACATCGTACCAAGATGTTTGGCTTGGGGCACCGGTGATGAGAGATCCCCCCACTTCTTGAAATGAGGTAAATGAAGAAAACACACATTCTATACAGGTTGTCTCTCAAGTCATTGCTGCTGCTGCTGATGATGATGATGATGATGATGACATATACATATACACATACATATACATATACATATACATATATACTGACTCGATGATGTTTTACAATCTACGCCGCTGTATTCCGAGATCTTTTCTCCTTTTGATCCCAGAGATGCCAACTCCACCGATGGTTTCTTCACATTTTCTGTTTGCCAGGTTGGACCGGATGCACCATCTTTGCAGGGAGAAAACCTTCCAAAATGCATGGAATGTGCCCTAAAACGCGCGTTGATTGCATATTCTTCATGCGTCCTGCCCCTACCCAGCCACGATCTTGTCATCCCAAAAAGTCGACGATGAAATTCTTGTGGTAAGCACCTCCCCAGTTTTACCAGTTCTCAACTTAGTGTTGGCATATCTGCAGCCAACCTGGGCAATTAAAACTCAAACAAACAATTCAACCCATCACTGCGGAAGAATTCGGAATTGAAAGTGCATTTCAAAGTCATTTAAAACCATCTACCTGGGCACATCATTCCAATTTCCGAATCAAAAGGTGTTGGCATGTAAAATTGGGTGATTCCAGCTAGGCCCAAACATCTTCTGCCTAAATACTCTGAATAATCATGAGCCCCTCTTAATGGTTGGTTAGGATACTTATCACCAAACATATTAGAAAAATCATCAAGATTTTAGAAAATCATCATTCTAGAATACCTGAATAATTTAGAAGAATCATCATTTAAAAAAACAAATGTCTTGGTGGTTTTACAAACTCTCCCATCACCAATCAGTTGACCAGTTCATTTTCATATTCAAATCTCCATATTGTTGTTGGTTGGACCGTGTCAAACATCCATGTATATATATAATAATTTAATGTGAAACATCCATGCCAGTATATACATATATATATATTTATATCATATATAATGTACATATTATAGATCAACATTTTTGCTAGTTAACCCCTCATCCATCCAGTTGCTTGCCCGATAAATCTGCCCTTTTCTCCATTGATAACGGTCATGAGCTCTGCCGCGCGTCGCACTCCAAGGGTACATCTGCAACAATTGAGCTGTTCCTGGAGACTAGAATTAGAACGAAGTTTTCATAGTCAATCTTTGGTAGTCCACAAAAAATCAACCCTTTGCCAGTTATTTTTATTTTTTTTTTACGTAGCAAAAAAAACTATCCAGGATTAATCTACCCATCCAAGGTTGGGGATGCTTTGAAATTTTGACAGCTGCAAAATCTACACCTCTATTGACTTTAATGTCTACACAAAATGCTACACAAAATCTGCAAGAACGAAAGCTTGTAACGGTTACCCCTGTAGAAATTGTCGCTAAGCTGTGCAACACTTAACGGCTAAACAACGCGGTGGTTTCGAGACACCACCGGCGTCGCGGTGATTGTGAGACGTCGATGGCTTCCACAAATCTGGGAGTCAAACGTCTGATCCAACGTTGGTTATGGATGGTTATGGTTTCATCCCCCTCAAATATGAAAGTCAATTCAGAGATTATCTCATCTCATTGAGTTAAAGATTCATATCCAAAGTATCAACCTGGAATAGCCCTGCGTAGGTTTGTTGCTTGTATTTGCATGTATTTGCTTGTATTGTCCCCAGTTTTGTCGATATGACAATTTCAGATGGAATCTTGTCTATCACAGCATCGACGACTTCAAGAAGGCACCGATGGACAAACATGATGATCTATCAAAATGATAGAGGCAATACAATACCACTGCTACAGGATGTCCTGTTGTTATGTAAAATATCACATTATCATACATTATCTACACTTGTAAGCCCAGCAAAAACATTCGTATCTCTTGTAAACCAACCTTGTGATCATGGTTCGAAATGGGCTGGCCTTGGTTGGTCTCAAATGGGGAATACTTTGCAATGGAAAATCACACATTTATTTTCGAGAAAAAGAAACATGCGGATTTCAGGGTTCAATATTTTGCTATCCCAAAAATTGTGCGCAGGATTCAGGCCACAAGAACTCGCATCCAAAATCGTTTCAAATACCTCTTAAGATGGCTCGAGAGACTTCAGTTATCACAGGAAGCCATGCGCATAGCCACGGGATGCGCTCCCGAGCAAAACGCTGCGCTTCCCAGAGCATTTCTTCATCTGCAGTCACTGAAGTCAGCTACAGGTCATTACCGGTCACTAAGATTATCTGGTGAGCGCTATCGGGCCTTTCTCGGGGGTTCCAAGTTCTGGAGCTGGCGAGCCAGCTAAATGTGGACCAACAAGTGGGATTTCGGAAAAACCAGTAGGCAGAGACAAAAAGGAGATTCAATGCTCCATGAAATCTCATGAAACATGCCTGCGATGTTCCGATGTTCGCTGCCGATTTCCAGTTCCTAAACATGCCTCCTAGTTGTTGGTGAAATTCCCAAAACCGGGTAACCCCTCTGGCATTCCCTGCTACGTTGCGAATGCAAATTCCAGTGAGAATCCCCCCTTTTTTCACCGTCAACCAACAGGGGTCTAACCGGGGTGATGCTCAGCCATCATGGTAGTGAAAATTTAAGAATCAACCAAGAGTGGCCATGAACTGCTCTAATTTCTTTGGCCAATCTTAAATACACCGCTGGCTGTCGAAGCGCTGGTTGGAAGAAATCCTGGTTAGTATCCACATGTATGGCAAAAACAAAACTATAGTACTACCATCTGGTAAATGAACATAGACCCTGACGAGTTACCTATTATTAGTGGCTTCACTCGTCTTCCAACCCCTATCTGGCAGGGTCTATGGGAAAATTTACTGCAGGATAAATCATCCACCCAAGGTTTCCCCAATTAAGACATGAAAAATACCCGTCCCATCTCATCATACTAGTTGATCGGGTTTCCTACTCTTGGTTATCATAATCCCCAATAAATTAGCTCTAAGCCCCCATAACCAATCAACCATTAATCACCATTAATCACCATTAATCACCATTAATCACCATTAATCGCCATAAATCGCCATAAATCGCCATTATTGACCCATATAAATCTTATTTTTAACCCATATGGCCCATATGATTCCTTATACAAGATCACTATTAACCATGATAAAAAACACCATTTTGAATGGCCCTTCGTTGGAGGTTGGAGCGGTTGGAGGTTGCTCGGTATGGCCTGGGAACCCGCAGGCGGCCGCGTTCAGCTGCTGCTTCTTCTGCGTCTTCGCCCACGGCTGCGGCGCCGCCTACGAAGCGATTTTCTAGCGATGGGGTGATAAAATGTGGAGCAAAGACTGGGACTTAACCGATGGAAAACGTGGATTTCATGGGAATTTACAGTGATTTAATCAATTTGATACTTGATTTTACAGTGGTTTAATGGGATTTTAATGGGATAAATGCAGGTTCAGTGGGACTTACCCTTCGGTACTCAAACATGGGTTGAAAATCCCCACACTCAATGGAAGTTTCAATGGGGAAAATCCATGAACATCATCTATAAATTGGGGATTTTCCAGTACGCCATGTTACTTTTTTTCATTACCCAAGGGTAACTGGGGATTCATTGAGATGCTGGATCTATTGCTTCGGAAAGGGTTACCGGGTTTCAGTGTTTCAGCTCCCAGAGAGCTGGCAATCGGTAGAGTTTCACCCATTCTTCTAGGTTTTAAAATGCTCGTTTTTGGACCGTTCAATGGTTCAATCCCTCACTATTCTGAAATGAAGTTCTTTGGTGCCTAAATCATATCCAAGCCTTATTGCCCTATGTGTGCAGGCTAATCTAGACATGTTCTATAATTTTCTGCTGGTTCTGACTAGTTCAACGTAGCTCAACCCATTTTCGGTTGCCAAAATCCTGATAGACATAAATAAACATCTAGAAACGTCTAGTCATAAACCAGCTAATTATATAATATGTATATATATATACCCTCTGGTAAACCTTTACACAACTATGGAACATCACCAATTTTCATGGGTAAATCAACTATACACATATATTCAACGAACTAAATGGTCCATGTTTAATAGCTATATCTATTAGTTTACCAGGGGGTATTCCCCATTGGATGACGAACTCATGTTAACCCATCCAGGTCAAGCCATTTTTCCAGGTCAACCCATCTCCTGCGGCGACTGGAGCTCCGCTTTCGGCGGCTGGAGCTCTTTTTCCTGGTGGCAGCAACAGAAAGTGGGAAAAATCGTGATTTAACGGGATATTCATGGGATTTTATCATGATTCAACCGGGTTCAACCAGCGAAAATAGTGATTTGGTGGGATTTTATAGTGATTTTAGTGGGATATTATATTAGAGGTCTAGTGGGATAGTACATGATATTACTGAAAATTACACTCTCGCAATCAAACATTGCCAATCAACGATGGCTGAAAAATCCCCGCACTCAATGGAGGTTTCAATAGGGAAAATCATCTCGAAATGGGTGATTGTCCATTGCCACGTTTCGCTCCCAACGGGCAACTCCCATTGTACCAATAGTTATTGGTGAAATCCCTATTCTTGTGGGTGAAGTCCCGAAACACCAACCAGATCATCATAGGATAAATGCACATGAAATATACCCATGAAATACCCTCTGGTAATTTAACATAGCTATTGAAAATGGCCATTTATAGTGAGTTTTCCCATTAAACATGGCCATTTTCAATAGCTATGTTAAATTACCAGAGGGTATCTCCATTCGACATATCTGAACATCCCGATTATTCATCGTTCCCAAAATCCTCAGCATTGGCGGATGCCAACCAAATCATGATTGGTGAAAAAATTGATGATCTACACCCCCTTTATATATCTTTATGCATATACATAGACATATATCATCATATATCAATATCCCCGTGTTAGATATCCCGATTTTAGATGGCCAAATTAAATGTAAAAAAATCCCCCATGTTTCTTGGTTCAAAAAATCCTCTATAATGTGTATATATATAATGTATATCATTGTAAATATCATCATTTTATATGGATTTTAGATGGTTAAGTCTCCATGTTTTACGCCCCATCAAAATCGTCACGAAAACTGCGCGAAAATCACCATTCAATGGTTGGGTTAATGATGTGAAATCCCATAGATATCCCTTGTTTTCCCATAGAATCCCATAGATATCCCCCATTATATATATATATATGCATGGGTGTTATATACAATATCCCATTATTCATATCATATGAAGCTGAAATCATCATATCCCATGATTCATATCCTTCACTATGTTCCACTATTATCCCATTATCAATGTGAAATATCCCAATGTTATATCCCACGGATATCCCGTAGAAATGGGGTGTAGCCACCCGCCTTTTCTTCTCATCCGAACTGTTGGACTTGGACTTGGACTTGGACTTCTTCCGCCGACTTCGGGACTTGGAAGCCCTGGGGAAGTCGGCACGAGGTTGGAACGGGGCGTAACGTTTTTTTTCGGGGGGAAAACCATGGGGAAGTGAATGAGAAAGTTATGATGGTTGTCAAGACTAGTGGAACTCTATATATAGTTTAATGATAGGTAGTGATAATATAGTTTAATGACAGGTAGTGATAATGAATGATGTTGATGGTGCTAGTGGTTAGATAATGTTAGATAGTTGTGAGGAATTAATATACCACGTATACCATGTCATCATATCTATATATATAATACATGCATATATCCATATATGGCTATTTATTCTTGATACACAATGGAAAAAATGGTGATTATATGTTGGGAAACTCAACTCGCAGCTCCTTAATTAGCTCCCCGTTGTTGAGCCGTGGGAATGTGGACACCCAAAAAGGCACTTTCACTGGCTCCCAGGCACTGGATAGATCCCAAAATTGATTCAAACAATGACTATGTCATAGTGAAAATGATGATAAACAATGATAAACCAAAGGATGGAACGGGGTAGCCTATTTTCAGACCCCTTTTTTGGATTGGAGGCCTTTCATTGGTTGGAGGTCCCAGAGGGCCACAAATCCAGGTTTCTCGTGAAGTTTGTCACCAAAGAAAACGAGTTCCAAAGCCAGGTTTACCACAATCTGGTTGGTGGTATACCTACCCCTCCGAAAAATATGAAAGTCAGTTGGGATGATGACATTCCCAATATATGGAAAAAATTGAAAAATAATCCAAATGTTCCAAACCACCAACCAGACAATGAATCATGCAGTCCAAGGCTCTTCTTCCTTTTCTTCTTTCCCGATTCAGCCTGGAGAAGTTTCTGGCGAGTCAGGGATTTTCCTGTTGGATCGTTTTCCATGGCTGGCAGGGAATTTGTGAGACATTTTTTGTGTAGCTATTGAAGTATCTGTAATACACATATGGGGGTTTCCATCCATTTCCATCCAGTCATGCGGGTACCCCAATAGTTGGATGGTTTATAATGGAAAATCCAACATTAACATACATTAACATTAATGATTTGGATATGATTTGGGTGTACCCATGACTTAGGAAACCTCCATATCTGCCCCAAAAAGCCTCTTCTCTGTGGGTCATATGCTCGTCACTGACCATCCCCAAGTGAAGGTGAAGCTTCGCTTTGCCACATCAATTTCGAAAAGCCAAACGAAAAGCCTTGGTATAGTTCCTTAATGTTCCTTAGATCTTGGTATAAAAGCCTCAGGTCGCGAGTTTTTGTTGCGATCCTGGTATAGTTGCTATACTTGATTAAACGCACGGTATGTCTTAATCTGGAGTGCACAATGGCACAATCTTGTTGCCAAATCATCACTTGTATCTACTTTTGGAAAACAAGGCCTAGGACGAGCCGTTTACCCTCCACTGCTAAATCACTGATGTTTGCAAAACATCCCCCAGTTGAAAGATGTTGATACCCTCTGGTAAACTAACATAACTATGGAAAATCACAATTTTTAATGGGAAAATCCACTATTTCTATGGCCATTTTCAATAGCTATGTTAAATTACCAGAGGGTAGTATGTTTGCAAAATTTTTTGGGGTGCATTTCACAGCCGGTGGTTTTTGTGGGCCCGAGTCATCCCAAGTGGCAGAACTGTCGCTGGCGGCGCGCCGCTTGCGCCTCAATGAACCCATCATGGGATTCAATGAGACATCAAACATGGGCCACGGGCATTGAATGGGAACCATTGGGAACCTCAAAAAGGAGGATTTAAGAAACCTAGAGTGATTTTCTAGCAATCAAGAATAGATACTGAACCATCAACAGGCTTTCGACGATTCGAGCCTGAACATGGCAGATACCGCCAAGTTTCATGCAGAAAATGATGAATCATCGTCAATATCTTCAACCCCCAAAGAAGGGGCCTAGAGACACACTCTCCCACTATGCGAAAGCCTGGCTCCCTACGGCGACCTCCATAAATTAGATCAATTTCCCTTATGTTTTCCCATTGAGCATGATTTTCATGGATTGGTGGATTTACCAAAAAACAATCACCAGCGGCTGAGTCCAGAAACTTCCTGCTGGTGGATCGCCCTCGCTCCTGTCGCATCGGTCCGGTCGCTTGGTCTGGTTTTCTTTTGGGAAAAAAGATGGTTCATCATCACCATCATCATCACAATAATAATCATCATCATAATAATAATCATCATCATACTATGATATCACTAGTATTATGACTATGATAATAACTATAGTAATTACTCTCAAAATTGCCATTTCAGGGGTATAGCCATGTATAGCTCATGTTCAAACACACCCTGGATGTTTTTGGGCAGTTGAGGTCTGCATGTACCACCAGAATTGCCAAAATACAGCTGAACGCTATGACATTGATCCACTTGATCTTTCCCAGCAGAAAACCTTGGCACCCCAAGCTTTGAATGCAGTCCTTCTTTGGAGGAGAGTCGGATTTATCACCTGAGCAGTGCTGAAATGATCATACAGGAACTGATCTGGGGATGGATCAAGTCATGCTTGCCCTTGGGGGGCGATGGGAACGGACTCTCGGATGTGAACCACTGCTGAGTCGGGTGAGGAATTCGTAAGCCACGTGACAGGGCGGGGACCATACACTGATAGGTATCCAACTTCCTGTTCAACCATGTTCAACCAACATTCGGTGGCGATGTTTGACACTCCTCGAAGAAAAAAACTGTAATATGTCGGCAATGCCTACCTCCATCTTCCAACAATTTTCCCAACACCATTCATCAATAACTTGTTATATTGCACAATTATTGGATATAATATATCCACACCAAGACAAATAAATATACATTGTATACTCTCTACGTAACAACCTGGTAAATTAATGTGTTTCCCCGTTTTTCCGATTCTTCCAAGCCGTATGGTGCAAAAAAAGTGAACCCTGCAGCTACTCACATTCCCCAAGGGTCCAGGTGTCCCTGCTGTCTTTGTCCTTCTTTTTCGCATCGGAGCTACTGTCCTCTCGTTCCGATCGTCAGTGGAGATGGTGTTCCTTTTGGAGGTTTCTCCAAAAAAATACCCGTGGTTACCCTCTGGTAATTTAACATGGCTATTGAAAATGGCCATAGAAATAGTGGATTTTCCCATTAAAAATGGTGGATCTTTCCATAGCTATGTTAGTTTACCAGAGGGTAAACATACAAAACATCTGGAAAACCAGTGGTTTCCCTAGGAAAACGATCAGCTTTGGTAGTCGAAGCTCTAAGGTTGGCTCAAAGTGGGCAGCAATGGTGCCACAAATTTCATCATTCTTCATATTATATACCCTCTGGTTATTTAACATAGCCATGGGAAATGGCACATTTATAGAGGTTTACCTATTAAACATGGTGATTTTCCATTGCTATGTTAAACAACCAGATGGTACGCCATTCGAACGGGAGCTAGAATAATTCGATGCCATAACCCACACCTTTGCGGACTTCTTCTTTTTCTTGTGCTTTGCAACATCACTATCACTATCCTGTCGCGCAGACATCGCAAGATGAAGCCTGAGATTCTGTTGTGAGTCATTCAGTGCCGGTTTGCGCAATTCCTGTGACTTACAGCAAATCCTTAAATGGCTTGCGCTCTGGGAAAAGTGGCAAAACAACTGGGAGTTGAAAAAAAAAAGATGCCAGCCCTGCCAGCCCTTGTAAACTCACTTCCTTCCTGAACAATGCTGTCGCAATGCGAAAAAACACATGGAAAATACATCAATACCATCCCGGCATATCCCGACACCTTCTTCTCTTCTTCCTTCTCACCTAGGCTGACAAAATCAGGTCAAGTCAATGGACTTGATGACCGTTTCGACACCGTTTTTTTTCACCAAGAACTTCGAATCTGATCCAAGATGATCCAAGATGCTGTCATCACTGGCTTTCTTCTTCTCCTCCTCTTTTTCATCATCGCTGTCCTTCTTTTCTGATTTTTCTGGTTCGTCCTCCTTCTCCTCCTCCTTCTCCTCCTTCTCTTCCTTCTTCTCTTCCTCGCTATCCTCCTAGCGGGAAAGCTGACCCCTGCTGACCCCTGCTGATCTCTGGCACCAACAGAATAATCAAGAAATCAATCAATTGGATGGAATGAAGCTACTGGGCAATCCATGTCATTCCTCCGGCAAGACCCACTGCTTGAAAAACTTCTAACCATGAAAAAAACCCTGGCTGTGAGTCATTTGTGTACCTGTACCTGGTATGTCATGTCGTATAAACATCTCAAGTCTGAACACCTCAGAAACTGGGAGGGTATCGAGTTCCTACCCACAAACATTAAACCATAGGCACTTGCTCTACTTGGATGTGCGCCCCACTTGGCAATTCCAACTGGGAGTATCCCATGTATCAGAGGCAAAAACCCATCTTGGATTGCCCAGTATCTTCAATTCCACAGGTTCATCCAAAAAATGCGGGTCCCAAAGGTTTTTTCAACCCCATCCCCAAGCAAACTATCTTCAACAGACCTTGCAGCCCCCCATGGTTCCCTTTTTCTTTGGGGCACCGGATCAAGGGTTTGGGTGCCAGCTGCGAATCGCCGAGTGACGAAGGTCTCGGCGATTCGTTTTCAGATTGGAACGAAGGTGGATGCTGAACGAAGTCATCGCGAAGATGGAGGACTCAAGACCCAAGATATAACTAACTACTGGTTGGTGGTTTCAACCCTCTGAAAAATATGAAAGTCAATGGGGTTGGGATTATCCCATATATTATGGAAAATAAAATTCATGTTCCAAACCACCAACCAGCTAGTGATTAATACCCTGCATTAAATAATGACTCTTCACTGAAAATGGACTAGGCAAGTAGGGTCTATGTTCATTTACTGAAGGGGAAATGCTATCTCCTTTGAGGTTTGTGACCTCAGTTCAGATTCATGGACCTTTGTTCACATTGGTTATAGGAACGGATTTTGATTTGCTCAGATATTGTGCTGGAAAACAGCTGCTAAAATGACGGCTTACCCACCAAATATTATATATAATATACATACATATATATATATATATGTATATGATTGAAATAGGTGTCATATATATATATGTAACAAGTAACAATAGTATACAATATTCAGATTAGAAACCATGGTGGATTGGTTCGACTGGTTGAGATTCCCTTTCATCTGTGAGGAACTTCAAATCCATCGGTTTTCCAATACACACAGGATTGGTTGAAGGCTAACATACAATGGAACTACTACAGGAATGGCCCTAAGATAGGCTTATAATTCACTTGATAATCCCATCTAACCAAAGAAAAACATAGAATACCATAGATATAATCACCATAAATCCAAGCAAGTTAGCCTAGTCATACCTTCAGCTAACGTTGCTAACGTGGGGGGATCCTTCCTGGTTGGTGCTGCCTGTATTGAGGGACTGTGAGTCCCATGGGAGCATAAGAGTCATGACTGAAACTACCAACCCGATATATGCATATATGTATATATATATGCATATATGCATATATGCAAATCTATGTACAATATACATATATCTACATACGTATACATATATGTGTATATATAATTATATATGTATTGTGGCATTGTTTGGGAAAGCAAAACGCAGTTCTTTCCAGCGTTTTTGACTTTAGCCCACTTGTGTTGAGACATCGTGGCGTACCAACGGCAAGATCCCAGCACTACAGCATGGTGTGGTGGCTCATGAGTACTCCATGTGGACACAAAGAAGCATCAACAGCTTCACTACAGCATCATGGTGAGCCATTGACGATCGCACCTCTCATGAATCTCATCCAATGCATGTGACCACTGTGATCCGTATGGCAAGCGGGGTCAATTGAGGTACCAATGTCCCAACGTCACCAAGATTGCGAATATAAGAGCCACCAGCCACCTGCTTGGTGGCTGAGCCACACATGGAATCATGACTTGGGGATGGGTCAAAACCCTGGTACCTAGTGAACCCCAAAATAGCTGGTAAATGGATGTTCATCCCACTAAAAATGTATCTATAGGTATTGACCCATACCCACTTCTTTGGGATTCTTAAGAAAGGTAGGATGAAATGCCAAAGATCGATGAAGCCACTGATCACGTATGATCCCTACCGCCAAACCTCCCATCAATTAATGTCTTCGTCACCAAGCACATCTACGGCTCTACGGCCATTTCTGATGGTTTCTTCACAAATAGTCCTCATTCTGACTCATTCATGATAAGGGTCGGCCATTTTCTGGATTACACTTCAGATTCTAGTCCCCTATCGCTGAGATATACCAAGGGATATATTTTATATATAATTATATAATATTAGATATATATATATATATATATTTGCTATGATTATACATGTATAGACAAACAATTTAGTCTGTACCCTTCACCACGGTTCACACTGAACATTGGCGTCATCTGGATAGTTAATTATCATGACTCACCTTTTGCCTTTTAACCTATAGATTGTCCACTTGTAACAATGGATGATCCAATACAATTATGCAGGATCCAATACATTGATTATCCCCGTTCACTTTGGGATTTTGAGGGTATATACGGTGGTTCAGGACAAACCTAAATCGACCAATAGTCTCCAATATTACACCTAGTACAGCCCAAGTTTCTTACGTTGTCAATAGCTCATGTCCGTGCATATTGTGTCCTTCCGATGGACACCGGCTTTGCCGATTTTTGAGATTTCGGAAGATTCAACTTTGCCCGTGGCACTTTGCCCTGTCCGAAGGCAAAAGTCAAGCTTTGGTGATGCCTTTTGCATCATCCCATCTTCCAAAGATGGGATGATACATATGTCAAAAATTGTCAAAATATCGTTGTCTTGCATGGCAAAGCCGGGGTTGTCTCAATTTATGGCGGAACCACAGCGATTATTAGCGTGAAACCGGTCTGAAACCAACGCATTGAAATGGGTCTCTAGTATAGCAATCGCTGAAAAGGAAGACAAGTAGAATTTCTGAAATTGTGGTAAATTAGTTTCCTATTCTTGGAGGCTTAACATACATTGTTCAGCACAGATCAACATTTATAGCATATCCAGAGAGAGAGAGAGAGAGAGATTGTTTTCAGGGAAAATCTACAGGAATCCATGGTTTTTTTTTACCAAATTCACAGCATGCTAGACCAATGGCCTTGGATAATTCGATTTGCAGGTTGACCATTCGTTCGGGCGCCACGAATTTCGTGCAATTTGTCGCAGCAACTCTTCGCGACAGTCGGACGAGTTGGTACTTGGCGACAGTCGAGCCCCTGAAAACGCCGAGATGGTCACTGGAGGGATTCATTGTGGGAAATACCCTCTGGTAAACTAACATAGCTATTGAAAATTGCCATTTATAGTGGATTTTCCCATTAAAAAAGGTGATTTTCTATAGCTATGTTAAATTACCAGAGGGTACTCTTGCATACCCTGCATCTTTTTCAAGCCAAAACTGGTTGGCATTTATATGGGTGCAGATTTTTCTTTGGATGTTTTTTCTTTTTTTTGTTTTTCAGTCTGGGGCACTTTTCCTTGCTATTTGCTACATTTTGGAGCAAACACCTGTACTTTGCTGAATTTTGGAGCTAAAATGTGCCATTTGCACTGTTCATCGATTTTTCTATGGCTTTAGCCGGTTTTTCCATGGTGTTCATTGATTTACCCAAAGTGTTCATCGATTTTTCCATAGTTTTCATTGTTCATTGAGTTTTCCATGGTTTCAATTGATTTTTGCATGGTTTCGATCGATTTTTCCATGCATAACATGCACCTGGTGAACATGTAGAATATAGGTTAAAGCACAACCGTGTTGGGTTTAAATAGTGGCATTGGATGCTATCATAGTGTTGGTTGCTTTAAGGTTTATTTCGGGTTGGTTTAGGGTTGGTTTAAGATCATTTAGGATGGGTTTAGGGTTTATTTAGGGTTGGGCTAGAGTTTATTTAGGGTTGGTTTAGGGTTTATTTAGGGTTGGTTTAGGGTTTATTTAGGGTTGGTTTAGGGTTTATTCAGTGTTATTTAGGGTTGGTTTAGGGTTTATTTACGGTTGGTTTAGGGTTTATTTAGGCTTGGTTTAGGCTTGGTTCAGGGTTTATTTAGGGTTGGTTTATGGTTGGTTTAGGGTCATTTAGATTATGTTTAGGTTTGGTTTAGGGTTTGTTTGGGGTTTGTTTAGGGTTTATGTAGGGTTGGTTTAGGGTTTGTTTAGGGTTGGTTTAGGGTTTATTTGGGGTGTGTTTAGGGTTTATTTAGGGTTTATTTAGGGTTGGCTTAGGGTTATTTAGTTTAGGGTTGGTTTAGGGTTCATTTAGGGATGGTTATGTTGGGTTGGTTTATGGTTGGTTTAGGGTAATTTAGGGTTTAGGGCTATTTATGTTTGCTTAGGGTTGGTTTATGGTCGATTTAAATTCTGTTGAGTGTTGGGCTAAGGTACATGTAGGGATACAAGGTGTGTATACAAAGATAGATAGATAGACAGGCAGACAGACAGACAGAGACAGACAGACAGACAGACAGATTGATTGATTAGATTAGATGAGATTAGATTAGATTAGATTCGATTAGATTAGATTAGGTTAGGTTAGATTAGGTTAGATTAGATTAGATTAGTGTAGTTAGTGTAGTTAGTGTAGTTAGTGTAGTTAGTGTAGTTAGCGTAGTTAGTAGTTAGTTAGTTAGTTAGTTAGTTAGTTGGTTAGTTAGTTAGTTAGTCAGTTGCTTAGTTACTTAGTTAGTTAGTCAGTTAGATAGATAGATAGTCAGACAGACAGACAGACAGACAGACAGACAGATAGATAGATAGATAGATAGATATATTGATAGATAGATTGATTGATTAGATTAGTTTGTTTAGTTTGTTTGTTTAGTTAGTTAGTTAGATAGATAGATAGATAGATCGACAGATAGACAGATAGACAGAATAAATAGATAGACAGAATAAATAGATAGAGTAAACAGATAGATAATAGATAGATTAAATCGATAGTTTAAATAGATAAATTAAATAGACAGACAGATTGAATAAACAGATTAAATGTAAATTCAATAGATAGGTTAGCTAGATAGATTAACTAGATAGATTATATAAATAGATAGATTGAATAGTTAGATGAAATTAGATAGATTAGATAGATTAGATTAGATAGATTAGGTAGATTGGACAGATTAGATAGGTTTGATAGATTTGGTAGATAGATAGGTCAGATAGATTAGATAAAACAAGATAAACCATGATAAAACAAGATAAGACAAGATAAAAACAAGATAAAACAAAATAAAATGAGGTAAGATTAGATAAGATAAGATTAGATTAGGAATAGATCAACAGATAGATAGATAGGTAAAGCATGGTAAAGCCACAAAAGCCACACACCCACAAAAGCCACAGAAGCCACAAAAGCCACAAAGCCAGGCTGGAAAACAAAAAAAAGAAAAACAAACTTCCAAAAAAAAGTCCAGGGACATCTTGATAAACCGGATTGTTAGCCGCCAATTTGTGATTCCTTTTGAGGAGAAAAAGGAAACACTTCATATTGCAACACTAAGCAAATCCACATCACCAGCTGGAAAACAAAACAATAGAAACATAATTAAAAAAACGAAAAACATAGCCCTCCATTCATATTCCCATGGCCAACGGTTACAGTAAGTTCAATACGCATATGATACCCAACCACCAGGAAAGAGTGTTGTGAAACCACTTAGCCACACATGAGCCTGGTAGTGGGTCAGGGTGCCAACTGCTGTCACATGTTTGGATGACCATACCACGTCGCATGGGGAACGGTGTTCTCAAGGACAATCGTCATGACATGTCATGCACTTCTTTTCAGGACTCCGAATCATTGGATCATAATCATGGATAGTATGATCAAGTACCCTCTGGTAAACATACAAAAAAACTATGGAAAATCACCATCTATAGTGGATTTTCCATTAAACATGGTGATTTTCCATAGTTATGTTAGTTTACCAGAGGGTAAATTCTCTAAGAAAGTCTAATGATGGGAATGTTCAAAAAGTCCGGTACTTGCATGAACATTATCCTAGTAATGTCCGATTAACATCACATTGGTACCCCATTAAAGCTCATAACTACTCCATATTAATACGATAATCCAGCCAAAATAATCGCCATACTAATAATTCCTCCATAATACTAACATGAATAATCCCACCAAAAAAAACATAATACTGACATTAATAATCCCCCCCAAAAAAACTAACATTCACATTATTACATCAAAAATGATATTGACATTACATCAGGGTCCCCTGGTCGCGCCTACTCCTCGAGGAAGGAACCGTCCCAGAACGAGTCCTCGGCGTCTTTCCCATCGTGAAGCTTTCCGAAAGTCATGGTACCCCAAAAATGGTTGGTTCATAGTGGAAAAGCCTATATAGAAATGGATGATTTAGGGGTACTAATGTTATAAATCTATATAATGTTGACAGTGTATCATCTTGTCTTTTTTACATTGAACCGATTCTTAAGTCTGGATTTTCAAGGGTGATACGGACCTACAATGTGCCAATCAACGTGGGGAACCCACACGGGGATGCCATGGGCATCCAAGATTTACAGCTGTCAACCCCGGATAAATAAACCATGGTTCATTAATTGGTGGGTACCACTCCCAAAATGGTCTTCAGTTTTTCTATCAAAATTGGTACCCCCAATTTTTACAAACGGAGTTTTTGCAAAATCTTGGGTTAGCTTTAATTAAAAAAAACACATATCCTATACTTGGTTTTACATCCCACACATCCCACTATATCCCCATTATATATCATTATATACCATTTAAAATCCCATTACGTTGCTGGTGAGCCCCTATTGTGTTGGGGGAAAATGGAAACTACCCTCCGGTGTCATCAAACATGGCTAGCTGGGGAATCTCCTATAAATGAAAGTTTAGAGCTGAGAAAATCAAGTATAAATGGGAGATGGTACTTGCTTGCCACGTTTGATATCCGGAGGGTCAATCAATTGATAAATGGACCTGTACCAACATGACCTGAATTTCGGGCCGGCATTTGGGACCCCCAAACCGAAACCCATTGGTTTCCCAAAACATCTACTTATTCTGCAAGATTTGGGTCGTCCCCGACTGTGGAATATACCGTACCTGAAATCGCGGTTTGACTAAGCCGTCAAAGTAGTCACCTTGCTACCAAAACCACGTCTCGACGAAGTCCATCTAAGCTTTCAAGGCCCTTTACAACCCCACCAGAGTTATGAAAATTGAATTCATTGGGCTGGCTTAAGGGAGCATCAAAACTGGAAACCAGATGTTTTTTCTCATATCAAATAGGAGAGTTCCCCCTAAATGTCTCCTTGAACCAATCCAAAGATTAATGATGATGAACGCATTCGAATTCTTGGTGCCACCAACTGGCACTGGAAATACAATTCTACCTTTTCCTGCAGATATAAGGGGGGTTCTTAAAATGGGATATCCCCAAGTCACCATAGGTTTCAATACTAATGTTGTTTAATGAGTTGGATGATTTGGGGGCAGCCCCATGACAAACCGGAAAGCTCCAGAATGTCAAGCCCGGATTAATAAACCAGGGTTTTCTTAGGGGGGCATTCCCCCTTTTTTCTGGTACCTTCCCAATTCAACAGCAGTTTTTGACCGTTTGTGGTTTATGAATCCAGGCTTGACATTACTGGCTGGTGGTTTATGAATCCATCTTGAAAAATGTGAGTTCGTTCATCGGGTTGGGATTATCCAATATATTATGGAAAATAAAATTCATGTTCCAAACCACCAACCAGTATATCTTAGCTATGGAAAATGGCCCATTTATAGATGGTTTACCTGTTACCCTCTGGTAATTTAACGTAGCTATTGAAAATCACCATTTTTCATGGGAAAATCCACTATAAATGGCAATTTTCAATAGCTACGTTAAATTACCAGAGGGTACCTATTAAAAATGGTGGTTTATGAATCCAGGCTTGACATTGGACGTCTGAGAAGCCATGTCAATCGGCACCACAGAATCAGTGCACCACGGCGCGCCCTCTTCCATCTGACCTTGGGGCTGTGGCGGCTGTAGGACACAGCCAAAACCATCCGGGTGGAAGTCCAAGGGGGGAAGCCTTTGGAAAAGATGGAAAAGACCGGCCATTTTGAATGAGAACCTGTTGATGATCTGTTGGAATGGTCAATTCCAATGTTGGAATTGAGTTTTTTTTGAAAAAACATTCTGAGAGAAATATCCACGTTCACAAAACTTCTGAATGATATACCCTTCAATGATGCAATAAACTGTAGATACGGAAGACCAGAAAACTCACCAACAAAAATACATCGTTTTCCGAGCGGGAACCCGGTTTCGATGTCCATATCTATGCTATTTACTCTCCACCTGGAAAATCACCCAGTTCATTCGATGACTATTCCCCATCATAGTTGGTTATGTATAATCCTTCCATACATAATCTCATAGTTGGTTATATATATATATATCCATGTGAGATTTCCCAGCTTGCCATGTTTGATGACATCTCTTGCGGCAAGTTTCTGCGCGACAACTGCCACAGATAGCTCTGTGTCTTGCTGCGTGGACCTCCCATGGAGATGCGACAGATACAAATGGCTCATATATTTTACACATGATCAATGGACAAATGGAAAATGTATGGACATGACTTGAACATGCATGAAAATTGCGTTTTCGGATATATATGAGTTGATGATCACTGATGTCACTGATATATCAGTTGATGATCACTGATATTCTGATGGTGTGGGACGTTGGATGGACAACGGACAGTGACATGACGATGGTAGTTGATATTGGTGACATCCTTGTCCAGGGGTGTGCATTCCAGGAAATGTATCTGGATAGCACTTCAGAAATAACTTTGGGTACACCCAAATTCACGCAGGAAACTTATCATCACAGCTATATATATTTAGAGTATGATTCCTGCATCTCACACATCGAAGCAAGTCCGTAGCATATTTGGAGGGGCCCCAAAAATCGGGCCCCATTTCCATCGGAGGTCCCGCAAAATTCGACTGCCGCCCTATCCTACAAGTACCCAAAACAGCACCGGTTGTTTCTCAGTTGCCTCAAGAGATCCCTGACATCACATGGCTGATCATCATCATCATCACCATCATCATCATCATCATCACGTTCATTTGCCGCATTGCCATAAATTGGAGGCCCATTCCCCATTTTTGAGCCAACCCAAACATCATCCTTTTGGGTATATCCCGTTACACATGCACCATTCACATCCCCAGGGGAAATTTCCCCAAAAACATGATCAAATATGGCTGTAACCCAAAGGGTTCATCAAGGACAAACCCAGATGAGCAGTGTTCAAAACCCACAACGTTCCCTTTGTAGTGGTTGGTTCAGAACAGATTTGCCGGTCCATGGATTGTGATAATCCCCAATATATTGAAGGGAATTTGAGGGGTATAAACCTGTGTTATCATCAACCAACCATGATTTATCAATTCCATCCCCATATGTGTCATGTTTAAACACCCCATAAATGATGATGAATCTCACCCATTAGACCACATTAAACCACTATAAATCAACCCTCAGAGCAGTGTCTCTAACCCAGCAGGTACTCCCCAAAAGATGCTCTCCGTCTTCCGAGGAACTCGACGAGGAGTTCCAGAAAGTTACCACAAAGCTCCTCCGGAAGTGGTGCTCCGGCCCTTTCTCCTCCTCGACTTGAAACCGATCGCAGCCTAACATCATGGAGTAACCTGGCGGAAATGAAGCCAAGGGAAGACAAAAAAGGTATCAACACATTTAAGTGTAGAAATGGAATTAATGCGCATCAATTCTAGAAACATATATTTTGAGTGTATATATATAAATATAATGCCAAGTGAGGATTAATAATGCCCCCCCGATTATATAATCAACAGCAACTGCCCAAAAAAACAAATGTAATTTAAAAACAGGTGGTCCCCCATGATTAATATTTTTTTTGGCCTACCCCCGATTAATCAGCCACCAATTCTGAAATCCATTTTTTATCCAGCAATTTTTATTTCCAATTCCTTTTATTTCCAATTCTTTTTTACTTTTTTTTCATCATCATTGTTATACTTAAGGTTTAAGTTGATCATTGAAAATTTCAAAAAACAACGATTCCCCAAATGATCGATTTCTAATAAAAATCTTTATGAAAATCATCAGTTTGGATAGCTCCCAAAGGGTACCCCCCATGAGCCCATGTCCCCCATTAATAATAACCACGGTTTGCCCCTGATTAATCAACCCTCTTTCTGATCCATGAGATTTTAACAAATCCAATGGAATTCTATTAAGATCTAATTGACGTAAGCCATACCCAAAGTTTTATGGTTCAGAATTTATGGTTCAGGGTGCGTTTATTTAGGGGTTGTCAAGAAAACTAGCCAGAAGGTACCTACCTACCTACCTGGTGGGGGGGGTTATTAATCCGGTGTTGGCATTATAATGAATGTAATTAATTAGCATCAAATTTTCAAACAATGTTTCCAAAAAAATCCTAAATCACGGCAAGTCTTAAAACAGCGAGGCGCGTGAAGGTGGATCAAAGAGCCGCGAGAATCTTTCGTAGGGCCCTGAGGGCACCAAAGTTCTGTCAATTTTGTGGATAAACAATGGGATAGTAATGGGATAGTAATGGGATAAACCATCATTTGAAAATATGATAGCCATCCTGCAGGGGAGTACTATCCCATTACTATCCCATGGTTTACAGGGCTTCATAGTTACCAATGCTTGCCAAAAGGTGCAGGATTTTTGGTCAAGTTCATCTGGTGTGGAGGTCATTCCGAAAACGGTGCCCAGCAAATACCCCAGTGTTGATGATTCATTGGATTGGTCGAAGGGAAAATCTTAACCGGAAACCATGGGAATTTTCCCATCAAAGATAGGGGATTTCTGTATTTTTTCCCTTAAACCAACCCATTGAATGAATGATTGGGGCTATACTGCTATACCCTTTCCTGGACTCGCCCAGGAAAGGACGCGTTCCAGGTAACAACTGGGTCAACAACTTTAGCTAGCACCCAGTTAGCAACCGATATGGCCCGCGGAAATATGGGGTATGCTACGCTCGATGAATCTATGCCATCTATGCTTTTTAATCCACCAGTCCTTCTCCACTTTGCAATTCAGCACATAAATCCCACGAGGAACATCATCAGTTTCCCCATGAACACGGCCACTTGCACAAATCTGTTTTGTGTCACTATTCAGTGGCTAAACCTGTTTTGTTGATGCTCAAACGCCCACTTTTGATGGCCAAAAGAATCCCCAAGTTGGCTGCAACCCATTCCGCATCCCCCAAGCTCCTGTCATCAACTTGTTCAGTGGTGAAGCAAATCGAAAGCAAACATCGATGCGGCCACTGTGCAAGGCATAAGCCTGCACAAGCACCACCTGGCCATGGTCTGAACCATTGAACCATTGGGAAAGGAGAAGCGAAAAAAGGGGTAAACCATGGTAAATCCAATAACATGTGAAGTTCATCCCCATTCATCCTATTCGAAAACATGTGGATCTCAGCCATGGGCCATGAAATTTTTATCCATCGAAAGTAGCGAACTGTTGGTTAAATGACCAGGGCTTCCTGAGTGAGTTTATGATGTTATGATGTTTATGATATGTTTATGATATGTTTATGTATATTCCAGATTATCTATGGATTACCTGCCGCTAGTCGAATGATTGGCAATCGACAATTCTCCATTGAGCTTGATGATTTTGCCTATTCTAAAACATCTCTTTATATGAGTTTCCCCAGCTAGTCATGTCTGATTGCCAAAGGGTAGTATAGCTGTAGGTTTGTCTTGTCAAAATAACCCATATTAATCCAGACTTCAGGTACACCCAAAGTTATCTGGATTCATATGATTTACAAGGTTTGCGGCCCCCAGTTGGAAGTTTTTTTTTTTTTTTCGACCCATGGTTACATTCGCAAAAGTCCAGTCCAGTTATCCAAGTTATGTGAGTCAACCGGCAGCTACCGCAGCTACGGGGGGGCTCCCCCGGCTGCGGCCCTCGCGCGCCACCTGAAGTGGTGTCAGATCCGGGCTGGGAGTCACCGTCAGGCTGTGGGAGATCTGCCTGATCGGCGCAAGGGATTCCGCCTGAAACTTCTGGTTGCTGAATTTCTGAAAATCCAATCAATTACCTATATGGATATTATATGGAATTGGATTACCAATATTCCAATATATTCCAATTACCAGCATGTACATTATTGGATATTAAAACCTGAATTTCAGAAAAACGTACATATTATTGGTGATCCAATACAGATACAAACCATCATACAAATACAAAAAAAATACATTCCATGATACATAATCATACATTTTTTATACATTACATGATACATATAGTACGTATACATTATAGTAATTAGAGCACGTTTTTTCATCATTGGTGCTTGAATCATGTTATGGTGAGTCATTGGCGTCAGGAAATCCATCGAAAGATCCATGGTGAAAGCGGTTTCGATGTTCCCCAAAGGAACCCTTAAATCATCCCAGATATGCTTCGATGGTGTTTAGAAAACGAAACCCATGAATGCGGGGTCAATCATTTTGAACGCAGAAAAAAATCAGATAAAATGAAAATCTGATTGTCACAATTGAAGCACCCTCAACTTGGGCGTGTTCTTCTGTTCTTCCGGCAGGAATGGCGCTTCCACACTGGCTTTAGTTTTTGCCACATACTCACTGAGACTTGAACACAAATGGTGGATATTCCCAAGGAAAACGGGTCCAAGCTTCGAAAATTTCAGGACAAGAGTAATCTCCATAAAATCCAACTGTTCAAGGCTAGAACACCGCCCAGAAAGTCTATGACAACCTAGATCAACAAACCCAGATTGATGAATTCGAGGATATCCAAAAATAGTTTCAACATGCGATAACTTATGATAACTTGCTACTACAAGGGTATGAATTCAAAGCAACCGTTATTGGTTGCATAAATCCGGGTTGACCATGTTTCAGCTCTAGTGCACCCACTTCATTGATGGAAAAGCCATGAAAATCCAGTAGTTGCAAATCATTTGCTGGTTTCCTAAAATAGGGGTCCTCCCGAATCATCCAAGTCATGGATGACCAAATGATGTATTGAAACAACCTGGTGACAACTGGGGTACCCCCATATATGAGGAAACCCATGGACATCCCCAGAAGGGCCCCTTGGCTCTCCAGCGGCCTGTCTGTGCCTAGCAAGTCGAGCGAATGTCACTAGTGGTTTCTATTGTAATGAGGGCTTGTGAAAATATCACTGGTTGGATATACAACAATTAACCATAACTCATGACATTAACCATATAAATTACTACATATAAATAAAATCCAATAAACCATACCATGGTCATAGAATTAGCATATCCCATATGTCTAGGTTTTCTTTGTTAGATTGTTAGAGTTAAATCCCCAACAAAAAACTGAAGATGAAGCCTATTACCTGACCCTTGGCGATGGGATAATCCACCGTGAGTACCGTGACCGTGGCAATGGCCAGATGCTCCATGGTGCTGGAATATGGCTACCTACCAAACTGGGCAATTCTTGGGGTAAATGTAGGGATTCATATTCCAGCACCATGGTTCGCATATGGGATTGAATAACTAGTGTTCATGGGAAAACCATTCATATTCTTAATGGGAAAATAATTAATATAATTATTGGAATTTTATGGAATTTGGTCGATTACTGGCGGAACGTATGAAAATCGTAAATGTTGCAAATGTCACGAATGAAACGAAAGGGTGGAGAATGATCCAACTGAAGCTAGTGAGCTAGCGCATGGCTAGTACATGATATATGCATACAAAAATATAATGAAATATATACATCATATAAATATAACGAAATATATACATCATATGCATATATATATAATGTATACAAAAATACCTGCACGGATCATGCCAAACCACACCTTCCACGGATCATCCCATTCTGCGCCGAAACCTGCTTTCTGCGCCTCGTGCTTCACATAACCAGCTCTCCAAGTACTGCCAGGGCAGGCGCCAGCAGAAACGCAGATCCCAACTCTTGCAGCGAGGTAAGGCGCGCCTGGAGGCACCGGTCACCTTTTGGATCTCCATGTGGAAATGGATGGGAATCGAATGGAGATGTGTAATGTGTAATGTCTACAAGAACATACCCATGAAAATCCCAGATAAAAATTTTATCAGCATTTAAGTGAAGAGTTTTTTTCAGTGTTGCACTTAAGTCACATAACTAATTTTTTATGACTTAAGCTTAGTAAAAATTCTGGTCACCAGACTAAAAATTTGATTTAGTATAACAGTCATGGAGTTGCAAAGGTAAAGCTTTGATTCTGGTCTGCTTGTCCCCCATGACTCGATCCGTCGCCTAAAAATCCCAACTTGAAATCCGTCGCGGATGATAAAGCCACGCCACCGCGACGGATCACCCCATGTCTGGTGGGCATGGCTTTTAATGGCATGATATCCAGATTACATGGCTAAATAATGCTAAATTTTGATATCCAGATTACTATTTGTCTTGGGCATGACTAATTCTTGGCCAGATGATTGACGAACTGTTCACCACGACTTGGTTTTTGCAGTGGAAGAGAGCGGCGAAAACTTTGGCTACAGTACCCCGACAAAAGATGGGCGAAAACTTTGAAGCCAAGCCCGGTCAAGCCCCATGTTTGTTGGGATTTATTTTGGGTTCCTAGAACTATGGTTATGTTAGTATCCATTTATAATTGGAACTTCCAGCTTATGAATTTCATCCTCCAAATAGTCTGACAAAAATTGGGATTAGGAAGATATAAGGATCATTGAGAATCATTCACCCATAACAATGATCATTAATGACTACTCTTCCATTAAATTGGTGAATTAGGAGTGTCATCTCCCCATTCTGAGACCAGCTCATTCTCGGTGGTGCCGCTGGGGTTATTTCTGTGGGTACGTAACCATGGTGCTAACCTCCAAAAGGTCGGATATAACCCTTGCAATTATATCTAGTTAGTTATGTCTATGACTATGTCTATGTCTATATATCCACTAAGTGGAACTGACCCTCAAATCTTCCGATTGACTGCTCAAATATACATCATTTCCATGCTTTGGTCCTTAAATTCCAACCTTTGTTCCAAAATTCTGGGGAGCAAACTTGAGTAAACCCCATAATTTCATATATAATGTCCATATTTTGGATAGTTAGATCCCCATCATTTCCCCCAGGTCGATCCATTTTTTGGATCGCCAATCTCTCGGCACCTGAGCTCGCTCAAGCCTTCGGCGCTGATTCCAACACCACGGAGATCCAAGTGACGCAAATTCGGCAGGGCCTCGCGGGGATCGACGACGATCAACGGATCAACGATCTTTCGGTGGATGAAGAGTCTATAAGAGTCCCATGGAAATCCCATGGGAAATTCCACGAAAAAAAAACGCAGAGGGTTTTCCCGAGAGCGTCTGAGCGCAGGGTTCTTCCAATAGTGGGGGTCTGTATCTCATCTTCACACCTTCTCATCTTCACACCTTCTCATCTTCACACCTTCTCTCACACCTTCTCATTTTCACATCTGCTCATCTTCACATCTTCTCTCACATCTGCTCTCACATCTGCTCATCTTCACATCTTCTCTCACATCTGCTCATCTTCACATCTTCTTCACATCTTCTCTCACATCTTCTCTCACATCTGCTCATCTTCACATCTGCTCATCTTCACATCTTCTCTCACATCTGCCCATCTTCACATCTGCTCCTCTTCACATCTGCTCATCTTCACACCTTGTCTCACATCTTCTCACCTTCACATCTTCTCTCCTTTCTCTCTCCTTTTTCTCTCTCTCGCCTTCTTTATCTTTCTCTCTTTAGGCCGAGGGTGGTGCCGGCGGAGAGTCACGAAACGTCAACCCTTTCGCACGAAATGAGGGTCGATCGGCAAAAACTGAGGAAAAATTGCGATTTTACTTGTCCTGGAGCAACCCTTTCGCACGAAATGAGGGTCGATCGTCAAAAACTGAGGAAAAATTGCGATTTGACTTGTCCCGGAGCAACCCTTTCGCACGAAATGAGGGTCGATCGTCAAAAACTGAGGAAAAATTGCGATTTTACTTGTGCCGGAGCAACCCTTTCGCACGAAATGAGGGTCGATCGGCTAAAACTGAAGAAAAATTGTGATTTTACTTGCCCCGGAGCAACCCTTTCGCACGAAATGAGGGTCGATCGTCAAAAACTGAAGAAAAATTGCGATTTTACTTGTGCCGGAGCAACCCTTTCGCACGAAATGAGGGTCGATCGTCAAAAACTGCGGAAAAATTGCGATTTTACTTGTGCCGGAGCAACCCTTTCGCACGAAATGAGGGTCGATCGTCAAAAACTGAGGAAAAATTGCGATTTTACTCCTTGTGCCTGACTTGTCTGTTGTGTAAAAGCGTCTGGTGTAAAAGCGTCTGTGTGTTAAGAGTCTCTGGTGTGTAAGTTTTGTTCGTAAAAGTGGTTTTTGTGTGTAAAAGCCCCTGTGTGTAAAAGAGTCTGTGTGTAAAAGCGTCTGTGTGTAAAAGCGTCTGTGTGTAAAAGCGTCTGTGTGTAAATGCTTCTGTGTGTAAAAGCGTCTGTGTGTAAAAAGAGGCTGTGTGTAAAAGTGTTTGTGTGTAAAAGTGTTTGTGTGTAAAGTCGTCTGTGTAAGAGCGTCTGTGTGTAAAAATCTCTGTGTGTAAAAGTCTCTGTGTGTAAAAGTCTCTGTGTGTAAAAGTGTTTGTGTGTAAAATCGTCTGCGGGTAAAAGCCTCTGTGTGTAAAAGCCTCTGTGTGTAAAAGCCTCTGTGTGTAAAAGCGTTTGTGTGTAAAAGCGTCTGTGTGTAAAAGCGTCTGTGTGTAAAAGCGTCTGTGTGTAAAAGCGTCTGTGTGTAAAAGTCTCTGTGTGTAAAAGCGTCTGTGTGTAAAAGCATCTGTGTGTAAAAGAGCCTGTGTGTAAAAAGCGTCTGTGTGTAAAAGCGTCTGTGTGTAAAAACATCTGTGTAAAAACATCTGTGTGTAAAAGCGTCTGTGTATACAAGCGTCTGTGTGTAAAAGCGTCTGTGTGTAAAAGCGTCTGTGTGTAAAAGCGTCTGTGTGTAAAAGCGTCTGTGTGTAAAAGCGTCTGTGTGTAAATGCTTCTGTGTGTAAAAGCGTCTGTGTGTAAAAGTCTCTCTGTGTCAAAGCGTCTGTGTGTAAAAGCGTCTGTGTATAAAATCGTCTGTGTAAGAGCGTCTGTGTGTAAAAGCGTCTGTGTGTAAATGCTTCTGTGTGTAAAAGCGTCTGTGTGTAAAAGTCTCTCCGTGTAAAAGTGTTTGTGTGTAAAAGTGTTTGTGTAAAAGCGTCTGTGTGTAAAAGCGTCTGTGTGTAAAAGCGTCTGTGTGTAAAAGCGTCTGTGTAAAAGCGTCTGTGTGTAAAAGTCTCTGTGTGCAAAAGCGTCTGTGTGTAAAAGCATCTGTGTGTAAAAGCGTCTGTGTGTAAAAGCGTCTGTGTGTAAAAGCGTCTGTGTGTAAAAGCGTCTGTGTGTAAAAGCGTCTGTGTGTAAAAGCGTCTGTGTGTAAAAGCGTCTGTGTGTAAAAGCGTCTGTGTGTAAAAGCGGCTGTGTGTAAAAGCGTCTGTGTGTAAAAGCGTCTGTGTGTAAAAGCGTCTGTGTGTAAAAGCGTCTGTGTGTAAAAGCGTCTGTGTGTAAAATCGTCTGTGTGTAAAAGCTTCTGTGTGTAAAAGCGTCTGTGTGTAAAAGCGTCTGTGTGTAAAGGAGTCTGTGTGTAAAAGCGTCTGTGTGTAAAAGCGCCTGTGTGTAAAAGCGTCTGTGTGTAAAAGCGTCTGTGTGTAAAAGAGCCTATGTGTAAAAAGCGTTTGTGTGTAAAAGCGTCTGTGTGTAAAAGCGTCTGTGTGTAAAAGCGTCTGTGTGTAAAAGCTTCTGTGTGTAAAAGCTTCTGTGTGTAAAAGCGTCTGTGTGTGTAAAAGTCTCTGTGTGTAAAAGTGTTTGTGTGTAAAAGTGTTTGTGTGCAAAACCGTCTGTGTGTAAAAGTGTTTGTGTGTAAAAGTCTCTGTGTGTAAAAGTCTCTGTGTGTAAAAGTCTCTGTGTGCAAAAGCGTCTGTCTGTAAAAAGTTCTGTGTATGAAAAACTTTACAAAAATACGATGCAAACTATTGTCTTGTACTAGTCATATATTGTCTTGATACTACTCTTCTCGTCTGCCTATAAATACATCTTTAATATATTATCTTGTCATATATTGTCTCCATACTAACAACAGAAGACTCTGCTCCTCTACGCTCTCGGGCCCTCCGTCGTCTAGTTTTGGGCTGGGAAAAGTTTAGGAACTTTCCGACTTTCCAAGCCACGTTTGATGAGGGTAAATCCTCTTGTGGTTGTTCCCTAATCACCCCAGATTTGGGGGTTGGAATTGGTAGATTGGCTATCGTTTAACCTGTTGCCGGTTGGAGCGACCCTGGGTCACAAATCTCACTGGCAAAAAAAATGCGACAGAACCACGTTTTAACCCAAAGAAATATGAGTTTAAATTTATCCAGCAAAAAAAAATGAAATTCAGAAGTTGAACTCAGAAGAAATGATTATCTATCCATTCGTTCGAAAACCAACAAAAGTAGTGATTGAACATCTGGTTGGTGGTATACCTACCCCTCTGCAAAATATGAGTTAAAGTCAGTTGGGATGATGACATTCCCAACTGAATGGAAAATCATAAAATTCCATGGTTCCAAACCAACAACCAGCAGTGGTATTTTTATGTATTGTTTCATGGTTCCAATGAACATAGTCCATATATCAATGGGATCCACTGTGTTTGTCATCTGCCTTTCATGACCATCCTTGATTGAAACAGCAATCTTCATGAGCGATCTTCATGAGGAACCAACCAGCGATGGATCAAGTCACGACGTTTGTCATCCAAACAACGCGACACGATTTTTTTATGGAAGAAAACTATGGAAAATCACCATCTTTAATTTAATGGGAAAATCCACTATAAATGGCCATTTTCAATAGCTATGTTTGTTTAGCAAAGGGTAAATGGCAACCATGGCTCCCAAAAATTAAATGGCTTACAGCAATGTCAAGATCACAACATGTTAGAATCCAGACATGCAGATGTTGACTATCCATTGGAAACCAAGAAACACGCACATGCCAACCCAGAAAAAAAATGGAACAGTTCAACAAAGGTAACGGAGCAGCCTTCTCTTTCAGAGTTCAGATCCCGCTGGATTTGTTCCAGGGACCGGGGTATGGCTGGTGGGGGTATGGCGGTCCCAAGCCATCAATGGGTTGGTTTAAGGGAGATCCAGGCTGGAAACTGCATTGGTTCGACCGAATAATCATCATGTCCCCGAAAAAAATGGGACATAGGGGTGAAAACCCAATTTTCAGACAGGCCCAAGTTACATATATACCACAGCATGTCCCTATTAAATCCCATGAAATCAAATGACAAGTCATTACCCTCACCCAAATCAACATAGACCCTCCGAAATAATGGGTCGAAAGACTGCTTTCCACTATGTTGATTTGGGGGGTGCATTTTATCCCATTTTATCCCATTAAATCTCATCAAATACCAATAAACCCCCAAATTTATGGTCAAATGTTCAAATTTTTCCTTCAAGCGGCCTTAAGAAGGACCACGAGCTGATGCCATGCTTCCTCCTTGACTCCTGGACACCTTGGCACCGACTGAAGCAACAGCACCCTCCGGTGTCATCAACTGTGGCTGGGAAATCTTCTATAAACGGAGGATTTTCCAGCACGCCATGTTTGATTGCTGGAGGATATATTTGAAAAAAAACCTTAGAAAATTGGAATTTGACCAACAATAATACCCATCCCCAACCCATATCAACCATGATCAAACCATATTCCTGATGGTACATCCAATATTATTCAACCCCGAGCCCCCAACATGAATTTGGCTGAATTATGATAATTCACTAACCTGAAAATACAAGTTAGGCCTTTGGGGATGGTTTCGGAATTCTAATCGTCATTGACGTCACGACGTGAGGTGATTGTAATTCATTCTTTTACACTTGCCAGAGAAGCCCCCCCTAACAGGTGGAGGGGGCGGTCCATTGCTGAGTGAGAAATAAAAACGAACCAGTCAAAAGTTCCACAATGTCGCGCACCAATTAATTGCCCGTGAACACATCACCGGCAACCAGGGCATCACGCCAATGTATATACCAGATCAAAAAGTGAGTCTTCGTGTTGGAGTCTTGTTCCATGTTTTCACTTGCGCATATCCTTTCATAGATTGCTTCAAACTTTTCTCCCAGTCTTTGGTAAGCTGGGCAAGGTTAGGTGTCTTCAGTTGCAAAGTGGGAATTGGTGGAAAGGCCTGGTAGCCTTTGTGAGTTTGTAAGTAAAGCTTCATATACTCCACTGTCTCCCTTTGCCAGGGAATCTGCGGTCTTTGTTTGATGCCATAGGACTGGGTAGCAGCACCCAGCCTATACAAGCTTCTAGTGAAGCCATGATCGCGTTCAGGCTACAAGTCTCTACTATGGAGCTTTCTGACTTGCAGTATCAAATGGGAAAAAGCATGCCCAACTTCCAAAGGGGTCACATCGTAAAAAGCAACAATATTCCAGTCTGAAAATGCCTGCAAATAGCCAGTGCCATCCGGTCTCTCTCTGCGCAAAGGTAAAGCCATGCCAGCGGTCAGAGTAAAAGAAAGAACAAGTTCAATCCATGAGATGCCAGGGTCCTCAGCATGAACCGTTGCAGTATCCGGCCAGGAAACCTGGGACATCCAAGCTACAACTGCAGTTGCGAAGTCACTACCCCATGCACAAAACCCTAACAACCTGACACCATAGTCTGGTGGTCGCCATGGCGACTGAACCTCCCAGCCAGACAAGATGTCTGCCGGAGAAGGGCATTGTTCTGTCCTTAGTTCAGGGTGGCGTTGTCGTTCCATGTCATGTTGCTGCAGCTGCGCAAAGTGCAACCTTAACTGGAGAAAGACTTGGTAAAGTCTTTTAAGGTGATGGCTGTCCTGCTGAAGGTCAGCAAACATGTCTTCCGATAATTTTACCACTTCCGGTTGCAAAAACTTACAGGTGGAAACTGCAGTTTGGTCTGCTAAATGGTTACCCATTGCATGGTAAAGCTCCAGGTCAGGCAAGCCTGAAAGCTGACGTACATGGGCTTTAGCTTTGAGAAGCTGAGGGTTACCATGTCTTGTAGCAATCCAAAGTCTTTCCACAAGGTCAAAGTCTTCCAGCCCATGTAGTGCCATGAGATCATGAACCATGGTACAAAGATGAAAAACATTGAAAAAACTTAATAGCTGCCATGGAATCTGTATAGATACAGCGCCGTGCGAACATCTCACAAACACGTACAATTGCAAAAAGCTCCGAACGATAAATAGACTGGACGCAAGTGGTTCGAGCTGCTGTCAGCTTTTGTAGAGTATGTGGAAACGCACCTGTGTTTCTCCATTCGCGGACAGATTGGAGCCTTTCTTCATCATCAACACATGTATCAAGGATGATGGAGTAGGCAGCATAGCGACAGGTGATACTTTCAGGATGACACAAGGACCCATCTGTATAGAAACATAACTGTACGCCTTGTTGCTCAAGTTCTAACAACCGTTGAAGGGTGCTGTGTTCAACTTCAGCCTCAGGCTGTTGCTGATGTAGGATACCTACAAGTTCAGCATTAGGATGTTGCAACAAGAACGGAAAGTTGTGAATATCTCTCCCATTTTCTTGGAAAAAGTCCAAAGTGTCTTGAAATGGCGCTCTGACATCATTCGCTGTGGGACACTCATACATCCTATAGTAACGGCTGTCAGGCTGGCTGCAGTACTGGCAAGGGCCATCGGCATCGGCAGCCCATTTGGCTTTCTGGGTCTCCAGCTGGTAACCAGCCGCAATCTCCTGTACAATGTGCTTCAGCCCACTACTAGCAAGTCCTTTCAGAATACGACGAGTGTCTACAGTGTTAATTGCAAGCATTTTTGGCACATCTTTTCCTGTCGGTGTGCAGGAGCAAAAGATCTTGATTCCATGCATGTTGAGCCCAGCGAGTGAGCTGCGCTTTACTAAGATGTAACAAGGGTATCTTGCAAAAGGCAGCATGCGACAAACATCCTGAAGGACCCAGTTGCCAATCAAATTTGGAAAGGTAGTATGCCAACACTCCAGCAAGACCACGGCACTGGTAGGGAAGGCCACTATGTTTGGAAACCATTTTATAAAAGGTCAACTGGTGGTCAGGGGAAAGTTTTCTCAGCATTCTCTGAATCGCACACAGCACACGGACAACCAGCTCCAGCATGGGATCCAGCAAGCCAGGGGTGGCTGCCACAGCAATTGCCGGGTTTCGGGTCGGCGAATCCCCATAGAGTGCCACATTGATGGCTGTTCTGAGCTTTCGGCAGTGCGTGTCCCCTACGGCAAGATCTCTGCTCCAAAAAAAGCTGCTGGATACACAGCACCATGGATCAACATGGTTTTGATGCGCATGGGGTGATGAGTTTTTTGGAGTCTTAGTAGCCGTTGGTGTGCTTTTTCCAACCTATCTCTGTGCCCCCAAGTCATTTGCAGAAAACATCCGGTTAAGGGTGCTAGTGGCATCATGCTCCTTTAAGGCAACAACTAATTAGTTGTTCAAACTGGTGCTGGGACGTGGCTCACGTCCAGCTTTTCCTCCAGTCAACATCCATATCGGTAGCTGCTGTCCACCTCAAAGTTATGTCAAGAATCGCCCGATGAGCATGAATATTATCAGCACTCCAAGAAAGATTGTCTGCAAAGGCTGACAGGAAGCATGAAGGCACCTGCTGTCGGATTAGAGAAGCCCAAACAAAGGTGAGGGAAAGGAGGTGCCAAAACGCTGCAGGAATCCGGACATCCGTGGTTTGTGCCAATTTCCTGAGTGCAATGCGACCCCATCTTAAAGACCCGACGCAAATGCGCCAGCGATAATGCCCCCTGGTCCTTTGGAAAACCCAACCATTGGAAAGCTCTTTGCACTGCTCGTTGTGAAATCGTGTTGAAGCATTTGCGTAAATCAGCAGTTACTCCAGCCATGTGCCGCAAGAATGCATGGGCTTCTTCAATCAACATTTGCTGTCGCAGAGCAGCATCGGCCGGTCCACGGCCAGCCAAGAAGCCAGATATATCTGGTGGCAAATATAGTGCCATATGCCTCAGGAGCTGAATGCAAACCACAGGTGCCCATAATCTATACAATTGTGGCAAGACCGTGATAGAAAAAAATCAGCAGGGGTGGGCGTCGTTTGGATCTTGGGGATTGGTACCGTCAATGCCAACATGAACCAAGAGGGAAATCCGTGTTGAAAGTTCACAATTATATTTAACATGTGTGATAGCTAGCTTTGGAAGCTGCTCGAGCTCACTAGTTGAAATGGCATCAGCACCTCTGGCCGAGGGGGCTTTCAAATAGGCAACTGCTTCAAACCACAAACGATCATCTTCAAGATCAACGGCCGGAGCCGGCAGGTTTTGTGGCAATCTTTGGAGAAACTGTTCAAAGGCATCTGAGCACTGGGAGGCAGGTTGGTCAGTGTGCCAACAAGGTGTCCAGTAATTTTTCAGAAGATCAAGTATGGCACGAGGGTCAGCGGTGACCTTCTGTTGAGTTACTTCAACTTCTTCGCTAGTTATCTCCCGTGTACTTGATGGCTTAACGGTGATGTCATACGGAGTCTTGCTCAATATTTTGCAGTCATGACCATGTATTTGCACCGGAACATCCAATGCAAACTCGGCAGTATCATCGCAGTACACAGTGACTACATCATTACGCACAACAGGAATACCAACCGTACTAAAGGAGGTTTGAAGTTCCGTCAGTGGTGGGTCTGGTTTTCACGTACAGTGGCATATGCTTTGGATGACCCCCCATATTTCTGGTCAAGCATGTTGTGAAACATCAGGCGATCTTTGTGCAACTGGCGATCAAAGGCAACCTCCATGTTAGTTTCATGTTGCAGGATCTGAAGCATGGTGTTAAGATAGGCCAAGGTTGGAACCTCACGGGATGGGGGCCCAAGTTCAGGGGTCATTTGGCACCAACGGATAAAACACCTGCCAAAACTTCGAGATCTCAAAATGGCATGCCATTCTTGTTGAAGCTCATGCCACTTAGTGTTTACATTGGGCTGTGATGCAGTCCAAACCCTCCGGCACAGAGCTTGCACTCTTCGAACCTGCTTGATCTTACCCGGGGTTCCCCTTCGGGTGATTTCCCCTACAGGATTATAATCCCCAGGTTTGGCAGGCCGAGTGAGCAGGGTACGAGGTTTCTTTTCAGGTTTGCGGGGCTTACACCTGCCGCGGTATTGCTTAGGGAGTGGCTTAGTTTGTGTCCAGAAAAGCTGGAACGCAACACACTGAGTCTGCCTGTAAGCAAAATCCATTGCACATTCCACTGTAAGCCCCCAATCTTGGAGAGTGACAGGTGTTCCCAAAACTTGCAGGGCACGTTGATATCCCGCATCAAGAAAGGTTGGGTCAACATTCAAGTCAATTCAAGTCTTCGGTAGGGGGATGTGATACACTGTGAGGTCAGGTGAAGGTATTGACAGGCTGAAGCATACAACTCTATGCGCATCAAAGTGCTCAGGCGGCAAAACTTCTACATGGCTAACCCAAGGAACCAGTTGACAGGAAAACAACGCATTGCCGGGCCAAGTGGACCCCTTGCAAGTGCATGGCATGACCTGGCCATACTTTTGAAAGTAAAAATGTTAATTTCAAGAATGCGCTTATCTTGCCGTTGGACATCCACCAGTCTAAAAGGATCCGACTTGAAATCCCCCATGATAACATACGGAATGACAAAGTGCTCTACCGCTTGAAGGGCAGCTGTAAGAAGATCTCTGTTCACTCCATCAGCGCCGGGGGTTGCAACACCATAAACAACCACAATTTGGAGCTGGAAATCCCCAACCTGCAGCAAGTAATGTTGGAGACGTGATGTAGCCAGCAGTTCAGGCTCAGTGGTGTCGGAGACCTTGCGGATAGGCCATTTGGACATGAGTGCAACCCCCGATGCCTTCCCCCCAAAAAAAGGTAACCCATCAGAACGAGCAGTTCTGTCCGGCAATGGGGTGGACCACTTTGTATGGATGTCGGATTTTCGCATACTACCAGCAAATTGTCTTTGGACTATGGCAGTCGCTGCAGTTTCAGATGCACTGATGACATCAAGCTGATGTTCCGCAAACAGTTTAGTATATTGGGATACCTTGGATGTGATAGTGGCAGGGTTGGTAATGGCAAATCGAAGTGATACATCAGGCTTGTCTTCCGGACCAGGATTGCTTGCTTCTCCAACACGTGTGGCAATATACGGACTAAAGCTACGCCCACAAGCTGGCATACAGGCAAGACAAACAAAGTAGAACAACAAGGGGCAAAAGATCTGCAGAGGTCTTTCCGGCAGGTTCACTATACATTTAAGGCCGTACCAAACCACAGATTGGCTGTAGCATTGCTCACAATGTCCATCAATACTCAAAAGTTCCCAAAGGGAAGGCTGGTGGGCAGAAAGTATCTGGTTGCATTTAGGTCTAGACCAGGCAAACACAGTTATACTGACACAACATGTGTACGTGCACCCAGGATTGCAGTCTTCGCCACAAAAATTCCAGTTATCCAAAACCGGCTGACACTCACGAAATGGCGTGAGGCCAATACTCTCTATCTCTCTTGTGAGGTGCTCAAAGATCTCTGGTTTGGGCTCCACTAATGTACCCACCTCCGCTATAAATATCACAACGGAGATCGCAACAGCGGCGATGGGTCGCGTCTGCAGGACCCGAGACGCCGATGCCCCCAAAATGGGCATGTCCACAAACATCCCAAAACCAACAAGACTTGATGCTAGAGTTCTGAGAATTGACCATCTTGATGGATTTGGAATGGTTTTCGGTCACCAATTATTGGACATTCCGAAAATCAGCAGCGCTTGGTCGCTCCGGTATCTTGCATTGCTGGAACATGTTATAACTCCCAGGATCTTTGGGTCAAACGTGCAAGATCAGCAATGATATGCAATGCTTTACCATCAATTTCTTCACTCGGGTCATTGGATTTGCGCCAACGTTGGGCCAAACTCAAAGACTGCAACGCAAGACCCGAAAGGCTGCAGCTAAAGTAACTAATTCAACTGAACAGTTTGTTGTAATTTTCCACACTTATGTTAGTTTACCAGAGGGTACATAGTAAAGTGGTACTTTATATCACAAAGGCTTTACTATGGCTTTACCTGTATAGTTAAGTGGATACATAGCCATAGTAAAGGCGGTTATATCCCAACCTATGAAGGTAATGGATCTTTCCATGATTACAACCATAGGAATCAACCAATGAAGATCAAAATCCCGTCCAAAGGGCCCCGTATCCCAACCTATGAAGGTCAAAATATGTATAAATCCCATGGTTATAACATGTTCATAACCATAGAACATCACGAACATCACCTAGAATAAGTTATCCCCATGGTTTCTCACAATGACAATATAATATATATATATAAATAATATATATATATATATATAATATATATATATATATATATACTATATAAATAATATATAATATATATAATATATATATATAATATATATAGTATATATATATATATATAGTGTATATATATAATATAATACATAACTTGTTTGTTTCACCACACCCCTGGTGCCATCTAACCACCACAACGTGCCACCGGGGCGCTGAGGGGCCACTCGCAGCTCCGTGGTCCTCTCAGCCAGTGCCACCAGGAGCTGTCGGTTGGTGCCGCGCAGGGCGCCGCAGCAACGGTGCGAGAAGCTCAGCAGACAGGCGAAGCTCAGCAGATCGTCCATGGCCATTGATTGATCCCCGAGGCCGTGGAGATTCGTGAAAAATGTGGAGATTTTTTTAAAGAAAATCAAGCTGTAAACCTGCCATTTTTAGAGTTTCATGTCGCTGGTAGTTGAGTGTTTTCTGGAATACTTGCGCACATTTGCTTCATATTATATATGTCACAATTTGATGGTACATGTGATGGTCTTGACAATGAGAAGTGCCAAAAGCTTGGTTTTGACGGGCTCCTATGGATCGAGAACAATAGAGAACTGCTTAGAGATGTTCTTCAGGAACGCCCAGACATTGTCCGACTCTGGTGTCATGGCGTGCAACAGTTAAGTCGGTAGGGGAACGCTTGAGCAATGGAAGTGGCGACCACGGATTTTGATCAGGGTGAATGATCAGCATGTTCATGCCAAGAAAATCGAGACATCCCAATAAATAATGATAAATCCGCAGTTTGGTTGGTGAACCCCCTCCATGTTGAAAGTTGCATCCTAAGCCCCTAAGTTATCAATTCAAAAAACGCGGGTGTCCTTCACCTTCTCTTCCTCTTCCTCTTTCTTCTCCGCTTCCATTGCTCCATCATCTCCATCGGCTTCCTTCCAGCGAGACGGCTCCATGGGGAGGAGCTCACCTGTCATTGGAATGGTTGCGAAATCCTGCACCACCAAAAGGACGGTTGAACCATGTTGAAGCCCTGCAAATAATGGGATAAACCACCTATCAACTGGTGCAGGATTTCTTCCATACACCTATCACTTTAGTTTGACGGATCCATCATTTTTTGTTGCTTAACCTCGCCATATGGGTGTGTCATGGCACCCCTGATACCCTTCTATTCACCCCAAAATAGAGGTGGATAGAAAGGATGTTCATCCACCCAGTCATATGGTATTTCATAGGTAACTTGATCCATCCCCATACTACCCAGTATATATATATATTTACTATAATATAATATAATATAATATAATATATTATAATATAATATAATATAATATAATATAATATATGTATATATATTTATATAATATCATATCATATCATATCATGTCATATAATATAATATCGTATCATATACTATAATATAGTAAAATAAAATATAATAGAGTATAACATATGAGCGATCGGCAAAACCTCAATTGAAAAATGCGATCTCGGGTCAAAGTTATCGTTTTTGGGACTTCACTATATCGTTTTACAGTATATCCTGATTGCATCATCCGCATCCCCTGGCAAACTGCATGCGGAAAGCCTTTTTACACCTCCACTTCGCGTCTTGGGCATCTTTGACTGCCCTGCGCTTTCTTTTCCAGCGCTTCAACTGTATGGTGGGTGTGGTGTGATACCCGCCAACGCAACTGCAAATCACAGTTGCACTTTCCTTTGTCCAGCTCAGAAACAAGCTTTGAATTCAATTTGTTGGAGGAAACCCGGGTGAGCTCTCACAGCGACATGCTCCATGCCTTTCATTCACTCGCCAGCGTCTGCGCAGCAAACCATCGACCTGGTCCAACGCCTTTGCCTTGGCTATCTTCATCTAGGATAAAGATCGTCAAACCGGACTTGCAGGTGCAGTTGTGCCCGAGATGAACCGGGATTGACTAAAGCAATGGAGCGCTGCAAAAGAATATGCATAGCAGCGAAAAGATCGCGATGAGCAAGTGATAATATTAAACGGCAAAGGATCATCTCAAGAATCTTTTGGCATCTGGGCCATCCATCAGCGAAGGACATTTTGTCAAGAAATGGTTATCGTTTAGTTATCGTTTTCGTTATCGTTCAAAGAGGGAAACATTTTTGGGAAAATGGCATGAACCAAGGAAAGTTGGAAAGGATACCTGTTGTCATCGTCACTGTTTGCATGAAAGCGCGGAACTCATCCGAAAGGCTTGAACAATGGCGAGACAAAAAGAGCATCCAAACCCAGCTAGTTACCACATAACAATACGTGATTGGATACAAAACCGTTTGCAGTAATCAGAAATAAAGAAATTGGCCAGGATCAAGAGTGTCAGCATACTTTTGCACATCTTCCGTTGTGTGAGCTGGGCATGACGTGCACCCCACAACTGAGAGCCTAGATGATCTAGATGCTTCTAGAACAGGTATCCACCATCATGTCATCTACACAACCCCCTTCACTTCCCACAATGCTTTTACATATAATATGATTCCTCAGGTTATCGTTTTTGGGACTTCACTATATCGTTTTACATCTCAAGATGCATATTTTTACATACGAGAGCGCTCGAATACATACCTCCTACACGGAGAGTTTAGCCTCTTGCTCATATAATATACGTAATATACATATATATATATATGAATCTGTGATGTGTAACATATCAGTTTTCCAAGTTTTGTCCTTCACAATCACTGGCTCGCCGGGAGGAGCCTTGGTGTTTTTCCATGTGGCAAACACCCAGTTTTCCATGCTCCAAAACCGAACCTGTCAGTGCAGTAACCTGGCAGTTCTCTGAAAGAATCATCCATCAATATGTTTGATCAATTCAAGAGAAAATCTAGAGAAAAACATGTGTGTTTTCCATGCTTTACCTTGGAATTGTTCGGGGTTCTCTATTATTTCCGATCATCATCATCATCATCATCATCACCATCATCACCATCATCACCATCACCATCATCATCATCACCATCATCACCATCATCACCATCACCATCATCATCATCATCACCATCACCATCATCATCATCACCATCATCATCACCATCATCACCATCATCACCATCACCATCATCATCATCACCATCACAATCATCATCATCATCACCATCATCACCATCATCACCATCACCATCACAATCATCATCATCATCATCATCATCATCACCATCATCATCTTCCAGAAATCCAGCAGCAATTCAGCAAATTTCATGTCGCTGGGCTCCCGCTCCGGAGTCCCCTCCGACTCCAGGATCTCTGGTCTGGCCGGTGGTTGCTTGGGCAGCGGCTGCTTTCCTGGAGATCGGAGAGGCCATGGTGGATTTGAGCCGGACCCAGGGACCCAACGAACATGCGAAAATATGGTGGATTTTCCGATGTTTTTCCAAGTGTTCCTTGTATCTAAGGATCCTTAATTGATGCGATCTAGGAAGGAAAGACATGTTCATAAGAAGCCATATCTGGTTGGGCTTGATGTTCCACAGAAAACATATTATGGTTCAGTAAGAAGCCATGGACTTTGGATCTCTTCTAATCTCTCCATTTTTCCAGATCGCTTCGTTTCTCAGATCCACCACGTCAGTTCTCGTCCAACTTCGGTCGTTTCGTTTTTCGCCTATGTGAATGGAGAACCACGCCCGGCTGCTGTCGCCGTTGGGATCGCCACGCCTGTGGCATTCAGGGGATTCTCCTGGTGAAAAATTCTGGTGGTGAGCGATTTTCATGGGGAAACAGAAGATAACAGAAGCATCTTTTCGTTGCTGGTGAAATGTGATGTTTCTCAGACCTGCGGGTGAAACATGCAGTAAATACACCAGAAAGCCGGATTTGAGTATTGGATCCATCTTGGGGTCCCTTCTGTGTGTTGGGGGGATGGAATTACCTCCAAAGTTGAATCATTGAATGGTTTCCGAGACAAAATCAGGAGCCAAATTCTTGGGTTCTGCTGACCTGCGAAGTCTGCATCCTGGTCAACATCTCACAAAATTGACAATAAGTCACTGTGAATTGTTTACCTAGGCCTATCCCACATACCAACATTTAGCCCAAAAATCACCCAGCCATATTAGGTGAATATACCGAAATATACCATGAATCCGAAAAAAATGCAAGTTCTTCGCGCATGCGGAATGCAGCAGCACCTCAATCGCATGGGCAGAACGATGACAGAGCCATCCTGGCTTCGCGGGGCTGGCGAAGACGCACCCGGTTTTGGGATGTTTTGGGCCCATAGTGGCAGTCTTGCGCCCATGTCATCATCTACAAAATGGGAAATGACCCAAGAAATGGAAATCAGAATGATGAAACGCAGAAATGGAAATCATCTACATTGGACTTTTGAGAAATCAGCAATGGATAAGTTTATGGAGGATCTTCGTCCAGCCATGTTAGATGACGGGAGAATCATTCTGCCTGTTGTTAATGACAAATCAGCTATATAGATCCGGTTAAAGATCCAGAACCATGTTCTCTGACAGAAAATCCCGTCTACTTAGTGATACACTCCCATCCCATCCGTTATAAACACCCCTCAGAAACCAAGGTCCCCCCCAAAAAAAAGTTTTTATTATCACTAAACAATGGTGTCATATGGTTTCTGTGTTTAAAATTAAGATGGGATGATCATGGATCCATTTTGTTCCAACAACTCGAGAAGGTTTATGGAGTATCCACCTCTATTGTCTCCACCAGATCACGTCGCAAGGGCACGCACTGTGCAAGAACACACCACTGGTCGAGATTGGCAGGGCGCATGAACCCCAGGAAATCAGATGGGAATTTGCGCGGCTCGGTCGCCACTGTCCAATGGAAACTCATTGCTACAGATGATTCATTGCTACACGGTCATCATAGTCCTATCGAAATCCTGGGGGAATCCATTGCTAGCTCAGATTACTTGGCAGCTCTTCGAAATAGCTTACCTTCCCCATATTTCCCCATCCACACCAAACCCTTTCCCTGGTCCTCCACTGGAATCAGTTCGTTCTTGGCGATTCTTCTCAGGATTCCCCTGCGAGTCGCTGCAGTGTTGCCACGTTACTTAATATGTTTCAATGGCATCAGTGAAGGTCACCACAAATCACCAATGAATCCTGGGATCCTCTGTCACGTCGTTGTTAAAATCATATCGCTGTGGGATATTCATTAATGTCAATGGTCCCAATGCACCATCAATATCCGCAAATAGCCAATTTCAAGTGACTGGTTTTCTTGAAATCCTCTCATCTAGGTGCCTTCAAATTGGCTTCGATCCAGTGGGCAAAAGCATGGTGAATTTGACAACTCGTGCTACTCTCTGAAATTTTCTTGCAATTTACACCGGACCCTAGAAACAGTTTCCTACGACTAAAATTCTTTCAAGGAAATTCCATGCGAGTTTTCAGGGCTATGAAATGCCCCCTCACTTTTACTTTAAAGTTCCTCTTCCTGGGTATGGAATTTTCATGATTTTTCCCTCATTGCTGGCGAAACTTAATATAGGAACCTACCTAACCACCTAACCAAGGATATAACCTTGTATCAAGCAAGCATCTGCTGATGTCCCCATGATGGCAATAAAACACTTGAGTGCCAAATCTTGTCCTGTCAGGATGTTGATTGAATCCTGAAAAGGTACCCAATGTTCCCAATGTTTGTTGTTTCTTTTCGTGGTTACCCTCCGGTATTCCAACATGGCGTGCTGGAAAACCCACCATTGGTGGAATCCCCATGTTTGCTACCTTTGTTGGTGAAAACCCACTATTTCTGTATGTAAAACCCATTTTTTTGTGGTTGGCTACATATTAGTCTCATATGTCTCATTTGTCAGATCTCATCTGTTGATATCATGTTGATATCATTATATCCCAATTGATTCATAGTTATGTACATCACATCAAAAATATCGCCCAATACCCATTATCACCCATGTCTCATATGTTATTTAAAAACATATATATATAGATATATATATCCATCATTTTTTCCTTCTCCAATGTATCTACATATATATCCATCATTGGTATGTCGTCCCATCCATCATTCTCCATCTCTTGATGAAATCATTCCAAAGGACCATCATATTCCCTATATAATGATTATAATGGTTCTTTATGGCTGATGATCATGAATATGATGTGTACTATAATGAGTACTCCACATTATTCTATAATGGCTGTTTATGAACCTATTTTCAGAAGCCATCTGGAGGTTTCCATCCAGTCATGGGGGTACCCCAAGCTCGCTGGATGGAATAATTTTCATGGAAAATCCGATAAAATGGATGATTTCAGGGTACCCCCACGACTTGGGAAACCGTCATCTGTTGCTACATTTTACCATAGCAAAAGATTGTAAAGTACTATATAGTTCGTATCTCACCGTTAGGTTGACCCAGTCATTTTGGCCTAACTTTGACTGCCCAAATGGCTTTGTCTGAAAATAGGGCAAAGCATCCCTCGAATTGTCATTAAAACATATTAAAACCTCATAATTCCCCTATCAAAAAAATGCTATTTCTGAGTACCCTCTGGTAAACTAACATATGGAAAATCACCATCTTTCACAGGTAAATCAATTTAAACATGGACCATTTTCAATAGCAAACTGTTCAATTTCTGGAGGGTAATTCCTCTCCCGGTATCTCCATTTTTGTTGCTTACGTTCCCATGAAATCCCATGAAATTTGCCTCAAAAATGCAGATTGTAAACTGCTAAATCCCATGAAATCCCATGAAATTCCAATCACAAACTCTTGAATTTGCAATTTTCATCAATTTTCTGGGAAATCCCTCCAGAAATTGGCGATTTTCTATTTCTGACGATTTCAGGAGGCTATCCCGGTCCCCGTCCACCCCTCATCCCCCTCCGCGCCCGGGCAAGGCCAGGCCGGTGCCGTTGGAAGATGTATCTCGAAGTCCCAGGCGGGGCGCTGTCTGGCAAATCATCGAGCCCCGTTTCAGAAAACATGGGACTCTTCATGGAAGAAAATATGGGAAAATCGAATCTAGAAAATGTGGATTTTAACAGGAAAACATAGGGATGTTGGAAAAAATCATGGGAACAAGATGGGAAAAACATATTGTGAGAAATATAAAACCATCAAACAAAATGCACATCCTATCTATAAATTATTATTTTAATGACATGGGGATATTAAATCAACTATATATAATGGAAACATCATCTATAGATGAAACAATAATATGGGATAAAGGAAAATCTATGGCAAATCATGAATGCAAAGTTAACCATCAATAAAGACATTGGATAATAATGGAAAATACAAGGGACATTTCATGGGAACATGATCTATAGATGGGGATGCTAGTGGGAAATAATCTATAAATTGGTTGCTTAGTCATGGTTAGTCGAAGGAAGATCTGAATGCTTAGTCTTTGTTTGGCCGGTGACGTCGATTTTGTTTTCAGGGATTAATCTGTGGGAATGGCCAACTAATCAGTAACTTCTTTATCTTTATCATCCAAACAGACTCTCTACTAATCATCAAAAGGGAACTTTTAACATCAAGAATATGGAATCAGCTGTTGGGATGCTTAGCGGATGGACAAATTTCGGATGGCTACTCCGTTTTTGGCAGGTGAAGTCTAGTTTTTGTCTATAATCATAGGGATATAGTGGGAATCTAATGGAATTTGGGATTATAAAATGGAATAGTGATGGAATATGGATATGCCAAATGCCCTACAGAATTAGTATACGAATTCACGCATTCAAAAGTTGACGCCCTAACGGAATTTTCACCATTCCAGGCAATGGGGGATTATAAATTCTGGTTGGTGGTTGACCTGCCCCTCTGAAACATATGAGTTCGTCAATTGGGATGATTAATGATTATTCCCAATCTATGGAAAGTCATAATCACCAACCATAAATTGGGAATAAATATTATTAAATTATGATTATTCCAATTAAATCACCAACGTTTCCCAATATATGGAAAATAATCATTAATGAAAACCAAACCACCAAACCACCAAACCACCACCAAACCACCACCAAACCACCACCAAACCACCAAACGATGATTAATGAATTTTCCCATTAATAATTATAAACATATGATATATGGAAAAATAATCCAAATGTTCCAAACCACCAACCAGAAATGGATATTCCCAGTGTCAAACGTGAAAATCGCCGGAAAATCAAGGCGTGTTTACAACTCGCCAAAATCATCCCCAAACCGAAGATTCGTTGGTGATTTAAGCAGCAAATATTTAGAAAAAAATCAATGGACAAAACTGGAACTCACCAACAAAAATCAGAAGTTCATCAAACTGTAGATTGTTCAGCGATTGTTCAGCAATTGAAGCAAGCAAGAATGGGATTTTACCCCAGGGGATTCGGCAATCGAAGCAGTGACTATGGTTTTTTGACATGAATCATGCGGATTTAACTAAGAATCTGGCTGTGCTTTGACCAACAAACATGTGGCAGGTAGAACCAACAGAACAGCGGATCTATTGAACAAAAATCTGGATTTGCAAACAAGAAAAATCTGGGTACCGGGGTTCAACTTGGGCTTCTGAACAAGGTTATGAGCCCAAAATGATCCGGGGACAATATTTTTGGCAACCCCCTTTTCAATATATATTTTAATATGCCAACTGAAGCATTTTGACACCCTAGTCTGCAAGTGAATTGTTACTCGCAAAAAATGATAATAATAAAAATCAATACACAAATGTTAAACGTGTATTTAGCCAGTAAAACCAGAGAAATAAATATAATACAAATCATGGGATGATATCTTTCTGAAGACCAAGTTGGCCAGCATTCCCTGTTCCAAAGGCGCGGTGGTTGTGACAATTTCCGATTTCACCAAGACTAGAAGATATTGAAGTAAGAATCTTACCACATTATTTCAATTTCAGGTTCTAAGATGTTCGAAGTGGGAAGAAGCCGCTGACTAACAGTGCTATTTTCCAGATCAACACACCTGGAGCTGGCTTCTTGCTGGTAGGATTCTTGTCTGCTTACCTTATTAATGTCTTCAAATGGATGTGACAGCATGCTTTAGCTATCTCTGAGATCTCAGTGTTAAACTAGAATGATCATGAATGATCTAGTCTATGTCACCCCTGAGTCAACAAACCCCCTGGACCGATTTACACGAATGTTCCTTGGTGCGAATTAGCCATCAATCTACCTTTTTGTAGGCACCTAATATCTCGACGTTCACGAGGATCCACCAGTGGTGCAACCCATGTATTCACATGTTGAACTTTGACACAGCGATTTGGAAAACCACCACTCTTTTTAGAGGCAATCTGACTGAACTCGGCCATTCCCATAGTGCCATAGCTGTGGGGATAGCTTACGAGACTGTATTGTCACTTAAATCATTGGCTATATTCTCATGAAATATCCCCATTCTCATTGAATTATCATCAATCAATGCATTGGCTTAAGGGAACATTTTAACCGTAAACCATCGATCTTCCCAGGCCTTTGTCGCCGTCTCAGCTTCTTTGGGCTCCTGCAGAGTTCATGAGCCTCAAAGATGAGGATTGAACCAATGAATCATGGATTTGGACGTGTCTGAAATTTGAAATACCCCCAAATTGCTAGTCAAGTGGGGGACATGCTTTTGACCATCGCACATATAATTTTGATACATATCAACTTGGTATTGGGATTTGCATCTAAGTGATTGAGTGAGTAATAATCATGTTTCTAACCCAGTCATATGTGGGACATACCTCAGTCACAAATTATCTATGGGTTTTGACCCTTAAGTGGGATATACATATATGTCAAACATGATCAAACCTTTGAATCATATGGTTGGTTATGTCCCATAGAATATCTGGGTAAATCATCATATTTCACTCACCTGAAGACTTCGGCCATTTGGGGAGAACAATTCCCCGAATCCAATTCCCATGATTCCAGGCTTCAGGAGAACAGGCTTCGGTCGTTTGAACATATACCCATCTACAGTGGTATATCTCCCATGGGGACATCACCAACAATATAATTATAAACATTTGATCCTCTTTGACATATTTATATATATATATCCTATATCCAGTGGTACCCTCTGGTAAACGTTTACATAGCTATGGAAAATCACCATGCTATTCATGGATAAATCCACGAATTTCTATGGCCATTTTCAATAGCAAACTGTTTGTTTACCAGAGGGTATATCTCCCATTGCAACCAAAAAAAGAACATCTGGTTGGTGGTTTCAACCCCTCTGAAAAAAAAATTGGTCAGTTGGGATGATTATTCCCAATATATGGAAAAATAATCCAAATGTTCCAAACCACCAACCAGACATGATATCCCTTGGATCAAAACCCATGCAGAATCTCAGATCAGTCGTCCACTGGTCCTCCTCGACTGCTGGGATCAACCTGTCGAGTGCATCTGGAGAGAAAGGTCTAGTGATAAACCATATAGAAATTATAGAAATAGAGAAAAACCAACAGTTAAAGAAATGGTTTGATTATTTCTGAATCATACAGAAACCCTGTATGGTTTATGTTTATATTCTGAATCATATAGAAATTTGAGCAAAAACCCACGGTGAAACATAATCCATAATGATTCAGAACAAATAATTACAGAACAACCATGTTGAACATCATCACAGTTATAGAGAAAATTACCATAGAAAAGTAGCATGGAAGTTCTATCGCCTTATTTTTTCGACGAAAAAAGTAGAGATGGATGAAGATACTCAGCGACACAACCAGCTGGTTGGTGGTTTCAATCCACAAACACATGAACAGTGTCAGTTTCAATTACCATCTGGTTATTTAACATAGCCATGGAAAATGGCCCATTTATAGATGGTTTACCTATTAAAAATGGTGATGTTCCATGGCTATGAGGCTATGTTAGTCATAACCAGAGGCTATCCCTTAAATTGATCCCAAAAATTTCAAACTGCAAACGCAGCAAACGGCAACAATAGAACTTTATCCCAATTTTATCCCAAATTTTCTCCCAAAAATCATGGGTCATCGTCATCGTGGCTCGCCAAGGTACTCCAGTGACAAGTGCTTGTTGGAGATGCCAAGAGGTCCAAGCACCACCTGAGTGGACCAAGGTCCAAGCCCTTCCCAAGGGGTCCCCCAAAAGGGGTCCCCTTTTGGGAAATATGATGCCAGTGGACTATGACTATGACATGACTAATTATATGGGTTACTACATGGAAATGGGGATTTATATGGTTTTCTGTCTGGGAAATTGGGATTCACCTCCGATGATAGCCATTTAAGAGGGATAATGATCATCAGCCATTGGGTTTTTAGGGGTACCGTATTTTCAGACAAACCCATATTGCACTCAACATACTTGGAATTGGGAATATATGACGATACATGCAAAAAGTAACACTTGGCACATAGTGATGCAGGATCTCTCACTTCCTGTGCTAGTTTTTGCATCTGCCTTTCACCCCTCACTCACCTTACCTAGGTGTATCGAGGCACATATCTTCTCCCATTTCCCATGTAGCATGATGAAATTTCCATTGCCGGCTTGGACTATCAAAGGCCTACTGGGATTCACGGTGTTCTAAATGATTTATCAACCGTGAATATCACCTATGAAAACCTTCGTTTTGATTGGACAAGTGGATAAACAAATGAGGCTTCAAATGGTTGCTTCCCGAAATTGGGGTACCCCAAATCAACAAATTGGTTTCATTTGAGCAGTGTTCAAAACTCTATGTTGTCCTTTGATACTGGCTGCTAAATAGGATTTTCCACAATGCATCATGAAAATCCCCAGTACATTGAGTAGTATAACCCCTATAATCATCAACCAACAAGGGTTCTGAACCTCAGGCACTGCTCATTTAACACTAATGAGAATCTAAACATAGCCTTCTTATTCTGGTTGGTGGTATACCTACCCCTCTGAAAAATATGAGCTAAAGTCAGTTGGGATGATGACATTCCCAACTGTTTCTGGACAGTCATGAAATTCCATGGTTCCAAACCACCAACCAGATAGCCTTCTTATTATAATGATAATGATAATGATAGCCTTCTTATTATAATGATAATGAGAATCCAACCACGTTGTCAGCGACCGCCACTATGGGTTTCCTCTGGTTTCCCACCAACGACCCACACCCGCCAAGTTCGCCCAGGGACTGAGTTTTTCACCTGAACATCGGAGCAAAGCCCCGTGGTTTTTTTGCGGTGGGAAGGAAGATGATGGAAAAACATGCCACAAAATGATGGAAAGTGATGGAACATGATGGAAGATCCTGAAACATGATATATTAATTGAATATGATGAATAAATGATGGACATATGATTTAACATGATCGAGAAGGAAAGGTGAATAATCCTAAACCAGGATGGAGGGACAAACCCATATGCTCTATGGTGCTCGTATATTCACCTCCATGAATGATTTCTGCGGTACATGTTGGTAAATATGCCATACATGGAGCGCATGGGATGGGGAATATTCATTCCAAACTGGGATGGAGAAAGATGGGAAAAAACGGAATCAGACTTCAGAAAAGTACCCTCTGGTAAACTAACATAACTATGGAAAATAACCATTTTTAATGGGAAAACTCACTATAAATGGTCATTTTCAATAGCTATGTTAGTTTACCAGAGGGTAAGGAAATTGGGGTGGAATTTGGTGTTTCAGAAGTCAAGCCTTTTTGTAGTCAGATCATGAGAGTCTTCATCCAGATGCTCCGGGAACTTCATTCCCCCATCAATATAGCTGAATGAATGGTTGCATTCTCATCACACGTGCTTTATTAAGAACTGCTTGGCAAACCATGGCGAGTTTCGGTTGTGAAGTTTGTTTGAACCATTTTTGCTGAGGATTCCCCAGTTGTATATTGTGTGTGTGCGTGTCTGAACATAGAAGGGAAAATGGTGACAAACCATCAAATTGGTTGTTGTTCCTCATAATTTGCAAGTTATAAACTGTCGATCGATATCAGAAAATAATATCTATCAATGGCCAATTAATGAGGATAATTTTGATGACGAGCGAACCCTGCCACATCACTTGGAATGATGGTGAATGTATGTGGTAGCTATCCCATAATTGGGCAAACTTCTCAAGTTCGAGAATTATTTTGATTTACCCAGACATCACATTCAGTTCTATATATAATAAATATATATATAATATATATATATATATATATATACATCCCAAGTATATCCCATGAAATATCCCTAGCTTGGTAAGCTTAACATGGTGGATCCCCTTACTTCACCATAGCACTGGCGCACTGGGCCCCACTGGGCTTCCCCGGCGTAGCGCCCAGCTGTCACCGGTTCATCACCCGCAGCCAACTTGAAGTTCTGCGAGGTTCCAGCCAGGTCCTGGAGGGCGTTTTGAGCTGAGAAGATCAAAGGTTTCAGCCTGGGATTCATTGGATTGGTTTAAGGGAAAATCTACAGGAAACCATGGGTTTTACCATCAAATATAGGGCTTTCCTGTAATTTTTCCCATAATCCAATTCTATGATTTCAGCCTGGGATGGTTTTTTGACTAACACTTTGCCATTGAAAATGGCCCTTGTTCGTTCATTTATATATATATAATGGTGGATGTTCATGGATTTTCCAGTTCGCTACGTTCCCAGAGGGTAACTATTGGGATGCCTAGGAAACACTTACTTCATGGGATGATCATGGGGTAAACCATCTACCAACTGCAGGATTTCGCAACCATCAGTATTACTGTGAAAATAAGCATAAGAAGGGATAATAGCTTCTAATTATTGACCAAATTAATAGTACTATCCCATATCATATATTCCATGAATATGATAATATGTGATTCTAACCATAGTGTAGGAGATATTACTATTAATGGTGATAGAGTAGCTAAATCCGGGTACCAAAACAGCGATCTAAACCAAAATGTTGATTTGATCTTGAGGAAGAACAAATATGATCAAATATGAAGATGTTCAGGAACATTCATGTGGAGATACCATGAAATCACCGCAGGAAATGCCAGGGGCTTTGAGCTTGCAGGCCATCGACTTGATGAAGATCATCAGAAACTATGGAGGTTCACCAAATGGGGTCGTCGCCCAGCAGGAGATAAACCACTGGGGATGATAAGCATTAACCTTAACAGGGGTATAACATCAGGCTTTCCCATGACGCCAATTTCAAGATGTGCAACTGTCTTTTTCTCAGAGCCACTCGGCAACGTTTTCGATACACATCCAGCCGTGCCATGGACATGACAACTGGAGAGATCACCAAAGCTGGCAGGTTTCGGTTTCGGCTGCGAAAATCATCAAAGTAAATGGTCGATGTTCCAGTCATGGAGCTGATTTCCAATCAAATCATCCAAGAATCACCACCTTAGTTCATCTATGTTCATCTTAGATCTTGCATTCTCTCCTTTAGGATGTTGGATCTATGTCTACTCCCATCATCGAAGATCGAAAAAAGTCAAGCGGCTCCGAACAATCTTCGCCGCTATTCGACCCAATCCTGGCTGCCGAAGAGCATCTTGAACTTCAGACCGTCAAAGTCCTCCTCCTGCGCGGCTCATGGTCGATCATGGCCTTCGAAACAGCTGAGAGTACTTTGAAGAAACAGAAATTTGTAGTGGGAATCTATAGGTATTACAGTATCATTAAATATATCGGTTTCTGGCGGGATACAGTAGTAAATCTAGTAATATTAACAATAATGGTAATAGTAATAAAAATAACATTAAAATAATAAGAATTAATAATGAGAGTATTAATAATAAGTAACACTAAAAAGTATATAATTAATCGTCATATCATATGTATATAATCTTGCTCCGTTTATAGCAGGATAAATCATTAAACCCCAGCCATTCTCCAAGCGAAACGATGCAGCGGGAAGTCAGGAGATTCATGGGGATGAGAAGATGTTCTGTGATTTCATGCTAGGTAGATACAACCAACTAGGCAGATCTAACATGATATAACATGATATAACATAATATAACATGATATAACATAATATAACATGATATAACATGATATAACATGATATAACATGATATAACATGATATAACATGATATAACATGATATAACATGATATAACATGATATAACATGATATAACATGATATAACATGATATAACATGATATAACATGATATAACATAATATAACATGATATAACATAATATAACATGATATAACATGATATAACATGATATAACATGATATAACATGATATAACATGATATAACATGATATAACATGATATAACATGATATAACATGATATAACATGATATAACATGATATAACATGATATAACATGATATAACATAATATAACATGATATAACATGATAGAACCAACAAACCATGGGGAATTCTGTGAAATAATTGAATTCTATGGGGATATTCTGAATTGTAGTCATGGATATGATTCATGTGGGATATATAATATAGGCTGTAATAGGATTATATTCATGGGAATATTCTATTATAATCCTATTAAAATCCTGAAAGGGATCATGGATATTTTTTTAGATAACAGCTATTAATGGGATAATCATCCTTATTCTATATAATGTGGGTAAAACAATGTCATAAACCAGCCATGACTGGAAATGGTAACCATACCACCTATTTATTTATGGTGATGACTGCAGGATGGTTTATGAAATTGTTTTACCCACATTATATATATATAATACACACTTAGATGGGGTTATAAAATGTTCTCAGCAAACTTGCAACTGGGGGACACTTCCTGTAGAAATGTCTTCGGGAATATGACCGGCATCTACAGTAACCCGTATGCATTGCCCAATCACAGGATTCTGACATCCAGGGGAACGTCAACCGTCCAATGCCAACCCTGGAATAATAAACCCTAGGTAATAAATTTGGGTGGTTCACTCAAAAAAACGGTGACTTATGTGACTTGTTATTTAAACGGATTACCCCATGACCAACAGCCTAGGGGTAACACTTCATCTTAGCATCCACAGCACCAAAATCTCCTCCTTCTCCTCATCAGATGCCACATCGGTTTTGACCTACACATCATCTGGGGAGGCCATGGTCGAGTTGCATGGGTGAGATGCGGTTATGGACATCCCGTAATGGGACCGATGTAGATCTGATTCTCACCCAGAGGCAGAATTCACCCTGAATCCAGCAGAATCAGCGCGTACGGGTACCTCTTCTTCTTCATCCTCCACATCTGTTTTCACCATTGGTGGATCCTCCTCTTCCTGCCATCTTCCGGGCGTTCATGGCTTGTGTCCCCAGGGTTGGGCCCGTGGGGTTGGAGAGTGGCTAGTTTTCTGGAAGTTGGTTCAGTCTTTGAACGGGAGGTGATAAAAGATGATAAAAGGTGCTGCGAGTTTTCGGAAGTGACTCCAACAAACTTCAGGAAAGCATCTGGCAGCAACAACGCCAACACCGGTGGCGGCAGCAGCAGCAGCAACAACAACAACAACAACAACACAACAACAACAACAACAACAAAGAAGTTCGAGAGACAAACATGTTTACTTCGGGGTCACCATCGAGAGGTTGCTGGATGCAAGGCATAAATCCATCTGGGTGGGAATGGATCCTTTTTTTTTGGATCAAGAACGAAAGGTCGGTTCTGAAGTTCTGATACTCAAACCAAACCATCTTTTCTATGTATATATATATACTATAATATATATATATATATATAATATGTATATAATATATATATATGAAATTATTAGTGTATATATATATTATATTATCTATGATGCAGTTGGACGCAACGAATTCTATGCACAGCAAGGACGCAACATTCTATGTGTCCCTCGGTGGCCCATGTCTAAATGCCATCCATCATCATCTATCCCTTCTGGAACAAAATTCTAATGGTATTCATATTGTATATGTTTAATGATATAATGGTATTAATATCATTAATATCCATATTGCTACAACTTCTGTCCTTTGGCTTCTCTTTCTCTTCCTGCCGCAAGTCAAAAAACCCAAGACATCGAAAAGCCTGTAGTTGAACTCTCCCATTGACATGATATTTCTGCAACGCACGTCTGAGTACCCGGCTGAGCCATGAAAAACTATCCCATCTCTTTGTACTGGTCTGGTTGTAAAGAGTCGGGTTATTTCTTATAGTTCATAGTATGTTCATAGTCTCCAATAAGCCACTTGGTATCAGCTCCTGGTCCCAAACTTGGACACTATCACGAAAACCCTCTGTCATCATGGCCGTGGCTGGGCAATGGCCTATTGATATGGAAAATCAATGATAAACATAATGATTTACCATGATTTACCTATCTAAAATGCTACATGTTCTTTTTACTTTATCTTATTTTGCTATGGAAACGTCATTTTTTTGGAGGCTTCGTCCATCTCAAGAAGCCTGCCTCCTCAGAGTCCTGAACGGGTGGAAAATCGGGGGGACAACCATGGGATTTGAAGCCCATAAGTTGGGACATGGGAAAATATACTGTACCCCCTATAACTATGGTGAAATATGATGAAACATGTTCACTTCTAACTGGTAGATTGGGGTATTTCATATGGTGACCCAAGATTCCAGAAAAACACCCCTAGTCGGCGGTCGACCCTTTTCAGGCGAACCCAGGGAGTCGTCTTGTCTATGTTTGTTATAGTGCAAACATGTGCAAACTGTGTATTTTCCAGGTGCTGAAGTTTGACACAGGGCCGCTATCAAACCAAGAAAGCCATCATTGCTATGTGCCAGTCAATTAGGATCATCAGGGATGGAACATGCAAAACATATGTGAAACCACCATGTTTTCCATGTTTTCGGGCATGACACCTGCTCATGTATGTGAAACTGCCAACTAGTTGGGTAGTTGTTGGTTATATCCCAGCTATAGTACAACTAATATTAGAAGAGTATGGGTCGTTTAAAATCATACCTCACTCATCCTTACTCATTAGCCAAACAAAATCATTTGTTGATATGCCAATTCGGACCAATTCTGCATTCAAACCAAATTTTTGCTTGGTGAAATTGTCAAATATGTGAGATATATCGTAAATTCTATATATATTACATAATTATAATATTATATATTATATATTAAATATTATATATAATATATAATATATAATATATAATAAATAATATATAATATATAATAAGTAATATATATATATAATAATAGAAAATAAAATATATAATATATAATATATAATATATAATATATCATATAGAATATATAATAAAAATAAATAGTATATAATATATAATAGAAATATATAATATGTAATATATAATATATAAAATATAATATATAATATATAATACAAAATATATAATATAATATATAATGTAAAACAATAATCTATAATTATAATATGTACTATATAATATATAAAATATGTATAATATAAATCATATATAATATAATATATGTATAGTATAAATCATATATAATATACAACATAATATATATAATATAAATAATATATTAAATATAATGTTATATATAATATATATTTGATATGTACTATATCATACAATATGTAATATATATATATGATATGTAATATATTTTTTTAAATATAACATAATATATATAAAATAATATAATATAATATAATATTATATAATATAATATAATCTATAATATAATATAATATAATATAAAATAATATAATGTAGTATAATATAAAATAATATAACATATTTATATTAAATCATATTATATTATATAAAAAAATTCTATTAAGTATATAATATTATACTATATTATATTTTTTTATACTATATTATATTATATTATATTACATTATATTATATATAATATTACATATAACATTACATAAAATATTATATATAATATTATATGATATATATAATATTATATTATTTAAAATTATATATATACGTAATATAAATATATATACATAATATAATATCAATATAATATGAAAATAATATCATAATATAAAAATATAATATGATATAATTTGATTCAATATAATATATTATATATATAATATATATTATATATATATAATAATCTTTATATAATATAATATACATACATAATATATTTATATATACATAGTATATTTATATATACATAGTATATTATATAAATTATATATATGGTATATTATATATATTATATACATTATATATATATGGTATATTATATATATTATACTATATTGTATATTATAATATAATATTCTATATATACATTATAATATAATATATGTATATATCGTATTTTTTTATTATTATATACTATACTTTCTGCTGGGTCAAAACAAGATGAACATGAGAGGCCATGCAAATCACAAAGCTTCTCAGCTTTCAACTACAGCAAGACGAGAAGCTTCGGGGATTCGTCAACCAAAGCTAGTTCCGAAAGCAAGGAGACTTGCTTAGTGGGTGTGAGATGATATGAAATACCCTCTGGTTATGTCAAAATAGCTATTGAAAATGGCCATTAATACTGGATTTTCCCATTAAACATGGTGATTTTCCATAGTTATGTTAGTTTACCAGAGGGTACCCTCTGCTCATCAAATGTGGCTGGAAAATCCACTATAAATAGAAGTCTGTAGATGGGAAAATCATCGAAGTAAATGGAGGGTTTTCCATTGTCACCTTTGCTCGCCGGATGATCAATTTCTGGGTTCATCACCCCAAAAAAAGTCAACCCATCCACCCACCATCCACCTACCTACCAAAGACCGCTACGTATCCCGCTGCCTTCTTCTTCTCTTCCTGCAAGGGCGCAGAGGGAATGGCGAAATTGACACCAGTGGAACGGCTCTGAACCATAGAGGGTTTTACACACTTTCTGAGGAGTACCCTCTGGTAATTTAACATAGCTATTGAAAATGACCATTAATAGTGGATTTTCCCATTAAAAATGGTGATTTTCAATAGCTATGTTAAATTACCAGAGGGTATGTATCATTTTGGCGGCCATCTATTTAATGAGATTAGGATTTTTATGGGCTTGAAAACAGGATTGATTGTTGGGTCTTCTGCATTTTCCGTCAGTGTTGACTGTCTCAAGTGCAAATCATTTGCTGAAGATAGTCGCTACACGTTGCCATGAAGCGAAGGTTTGCTTCTAGTTTCAAACACAAAAGGATGGATTTTAGGTAGTATATGCCCAAGCAAGTGCTTGCACTGGGTGCTGCCAAACAAACCCAAAAGTCCCTTCCTCATCTGAGCTATCTTTCTTGGCTTTTTCCTTCTCATCATCGGAGCTGTCTTTCTTGGCCTTCTCCTTCTCATCATCAGAACTATCTTCCTTAGGGGCCTTTTCCTTTTCATCATCGGAGCTATCATCCTTCTTGGCCTTCTTTTCCTTTTCATCATCAGAACTGTCATTTCTTGGCCTTCTCCTTCTCATCATCAGAACTATCTTCCTTAGGGGCCTTTTCCTTTTCATCATCGGAGCTATCATCCTTCTTGGCCTTCTCCTTTTCATCATCGGAACTGTCGTCCTTCTTTGCCTTTTCCTTTTCGTCATCCGAACTGTCTTTCTTGGCCTTCTCCTTTTCATCATCGGAACTGTCGTCCTTCTTTGCCTTTTCCTTTTCGTCATCCGAACTGTCTTTCTTGGCCTTCTTCTTTTCATCATCGGAACTATCATCCTTCTTGGCCTTCTCCTTTTCATCGTCAGAGCTATCTTTCTTAGCTTCTGAACTGCTGGATTTTTTGGCCTGACAAGGACAGGAGAAAAGGACTCGGCACAGGGCACAACAATGGTTCAAGTAAAAGTTCAAAGCTTTGGTGATTGTTGGGCTGTGACAAAGCAACAGAATGATTTTCGATAAGCAGACCGTCTCTGATTGGTAGTTGCACCGAAAATTATGACAGTCAGCTGGGGTCCTCACCGTTGAAAACAAATAAGTCGAAACAAATGGGCATTTCCATAAATGGAGGTACCCCCAAATGGATGGTGTATTTCATGGAAAATCCATCTATAAATGGATGACACCTGGGGGTAGCCCTATTTCAGGAAACCTCCAACATGGAACATACGCATGGAACTTCGGGAACCCTCAACTCAGAAATCGGTTGTTTTGTAACCACCAGCCATTCTTGGGCTTCCATTCGGAATCAAACTCAACGATCACCAGTCAACTGGGCATGAAAATGGGACGGTGCTGTTCGTAGACTTGTTCAAACTGCCTCTTCCATGTTGTGCTTCCAGACCATGACATAAGGAGTTTTACCGACAATCACAAAGCAAATTCAGGTGACATTACGGGTGGCATACTTCCTTTCCCTCTCAAAAACAATCACCATCATCATTAAACAGAGAACATCCAAACATAGCCAAACCTATTGGGTGAGGTTTTCTTTTTCTTGATGTGGCGTTTCCAACGCCGAAGCCAGCCTTCACTTTGGCTTTTTTCTTGGCGCCATCATCAGAACTATCAGATTTCTTTCTCTTCTTCCCTCGGTGAGATAACTGAACGTCACCCAAAATTGGAGGTCACTGGTCACCTGTCAACGCTTCACCTTAGATACCCTGCAGGGGGTCAATGGTTCTGTCATATTTTTATTACCATCTGGTTATGACTAACAGTTCGCCATGGTATAGATGGCCCATAGAAATAGATGGTTTACCGTTCTTAAAAACGGTGGATCTTTCCATGGCTATCTTAGTCATAACCAGATGGTATAGGGTATAGTCATGTAGGACGTCCATTTCTCCAAGTTTTCTTGTCGCCTCGAGAAAGCAAGACTTTGGAAATGGAAGATCAATTAGTTGGACGAGCTTGCCAGCAGACTTTGGATATACTACCTGTGGCCAAAGCAGTGTCCAAGGGGCGTCTCTCATCACTGGAGGAATCGGATTTCGCCTTTTTCTTTGGCTTTTTCTCGCTATCTGAACCTCAAAGCCGGCAGTGCTAACCAATGATGTTCTCAAAAAGAAACAAGTATACCATGCACACCACGATTGAGCTAAAAATATCGTGAGAAATAAGGGTGACGATGGGTTATCCGTTACTCAACCAGTGTCAAATCCCAATCGATTCTGCCCGGTCTGCCTGGTATGGGGTTCGGGAATGGGTCATGGGTCATGGGAGGGGCCAATCATTCCTTCGATGATTTCCACAATGTTTCCCCAACGGGCCATTGGAAATTCAATAGAAATGGGGGCTTTTCAATAGGAAAATCAATGAAAATCACCTATAAATAGTGTAATTATTTACAAGTTGCCAGAGGGTATTCCTGAATCCAAAGTTCCAGTGGCGCATGGTGCTACACTTACATACCAACAATGAGTCTCCTTCGCAAGGTTTCCCCAAGAATAGGCTAGTCATGGCTAGTCCAAAAAGTGCTGCGTCCTCCTTTTCTCCATAAACACATATCACAAAATGATGTAGTCGATTCCCCAGTTGGATATGAATTTCTATATATCCGTATACTATGACCCATAGGATCCATGTATGGTATATATGCTAACATTTGGGGTATATTGATGGTAAATGTTACCATATATATCATACATGGATCCTATGGGTGATAGTACAATTCCCCTATCCCCATGAAATCCCAGAAAATCCATCGCTGAACGCTTCTCCCTGCCGTGCCGCTGTCAGAGGTCTTCTTCTTCTTCGCGGCTTTCTCCGAGCTGTCGCTGTCGTCCTTGGGAACCGAGACCACCGAGGCCACGACTGCCGGGACCGAGACCTGGGATCGTCGCTCCAGGAAACACGCTTTACGCGTTTGGCTTTTGGGCTGGGCTTGTCCCATAAAAAGTACATAAATCATATTAAATCATCATAAATCTATGTAACTGGATACATATAACTACATACATATGTATATATGTATGTATGTGTGTATACGCAGTAGATTAATCTTTTTTGGGCTTAGCCACTTGCCGCACTTGCGCTGGCCATCCGACTGGGCCCAAAATCAGGATGTTTGATAACATGAATTCCCATGGACACTTCAGTTAAATATGTATATAATTGTATATATATATATGGGTAAATTACAAAAAATGAATTAAGGCCATTTATATCTTATATCTGTGTGTATATGCGTAGAATATATTAGAATATACTGTTTTAGATGCTACTTAAAACACCACATATCCACCCCACGCAAATCCCCAGTTTCATGGCAAACATTCAGAGCCCCAAAGGCATCACACTGAACCCACAAAAAAAAACGGAAGTGGAGTTGGCGCCTCTTTGGGCTCGTCCATCTTGACAACTTCAAGCTGTTCAGTTTGCGCGACTGGCGGAACTTCAGGTGCTTCTTTGGGTTTCTCCTCAAAACTCTGTGGCTCAACATTGCCACCGGAACAGCAGCATCCAAACAAAAGTCGCGGGGTCTTTGGAGCGTTGTAGAAACAGCAGTAACTACCAGTCCGGCATCTTTTTCCGTGAGTCAAAACGACTGAAATACCAGCTTGATCACCTAAAATTTTCTAAAATTCATAAAGCTGGTATTTCAGTGATCACTAAAATTATCTAAAATCTATGAATTATCTATGAATTATCTATGGTTTCAAAATGTTTCAAATCTGGCTTTGTTGTCCTCTCTTCAGTCGTACGCTCCGGAGATTCCGGTCTTCCGTCCTTGTGAGCATCCCCATTGAGCTCCTGACGATCGGCTCACTCAGCTAGGTGTGATACAATCATGAGCACCCACTGATCAAGAGGGTCACGTAAGACCCCAAGCATACTGCATGATCACCAAGGTTAGGGCCTAGGGATATTTCTTACATTTTTTTTACCCCATGAAAATAGTTTCTCAAAAACCCGACTTGTAGTTGATCCCATCGAGGGGAAAGCAGTGGCACGTTCGCCCAGCGTTCCCCCATCTGAGTCCTTGGGCACTGCACCGTTTTCCTGCAGCGAGTCGATGGCATCGCGCTGGCAGGTCGAAATTATTTACTCAACTCCACGACTGAAAAATATGGGAAGGTCATTGGGGATCAGCAAGTGTCCCATTTGTAGGTGGAAAATGAATTTCATGAGCTATAGGTAAATATATTATATAATATGATCATGATATATAATGATTCTTACATTGATATCAACTAGCAGCTAGCAAGTGTGCCCTCTGGTCATTTCACGTAGTTATAGAACATCACCATTTCTAGTTGGTAAATCATGATAAACCATCGAAGTGACGATACTGGATCAAAAATGATCAATATAGAATAGTAGGTTAGAAGCCATTTACCATGACTATATTATATATAGCAGCCATTACTATTTTTGGGTGGTTCTGAAAATATGGTGTATCCCCAATGTAAAACTGCTTGGTGGTGCAATAACCATGTTGAAAAATATTAGTCAATGGGGTTCGGACTATCCCATATATTATTGAAAAGAAAAACTGTTTGAAATCACCACCAACCAGAAAAGCCATCAAAAATAGGGATAGTGATGGGCTGAACCCATCATCGCCATGCTGAATCCCATTAATGGGCCAGGCCGTGGCTGAGGCTTCCGGTCCTTGGCTTCGCCCAGGTCGCCACCCTTGAAGGCCTTGGTGCAGACGATGGCAAGATGCAGAGAATTTTTTCGTCAAACATGGCAACATATGGCAACCCTGCAGTGCAGCTCTGAAATTTTAGATATTCACACCAAAAAAAAAATCACTGAAACATGGAAAATCGTCATATCTCCATCGCAGTGGTGATGACTGGTGATGACTTATGAATGTTCCTGCGCAGTTAAGGAGCTCTTCTAGACCTTTTCCAGGGCGCTTCCTCCTCCTCTAGCTGCAAGATTGGAGTTGGGATAGGTAGCAGGAATGGGGTGGAATGGGAAACTTCAATTGAAGTGTCTCAAACCCTCTTTCGGAATTCAAGTTGATGAATGATCTATGACCAGGAAGCAAAGTGCAGGCTTTAGGACCTTTAGGAGGACTTGGGTTTCCACACAACTTTCTGCTATCTTAACATATCTTAACATGTGGGTGTGTCTGAAAATAGTGTACCCCTAAACCCAATGGTTTTGCTGATCATTATCCCTATTTTTCATGGCTATTTCATTGGGAATATACCCTGTTTTCAGACAAACCCATGTAGAAATTTCACCGTCCCATTCTCCTCGACTGGCTTGGCCTGAGCGCTAAACTGGACGTGCTGCGATTTTTACCACGCGAAAACTCTGAATTTCGAAAAATGGGTCCGGTGCGATGCCCTCAACCGACAACATCAGACTCCAAATGCATGCTGTCATGCGCTGTCATCTTTCAGACGAGCCCGTAAGATTTACAGCGAGCTGATTGATTCATCCTGGTCCAATTCTACCCTCATCGAAAGCCCATCGCCTGCGCCGCTGGTCCTGGCGTTCACTGGGTTGAACGAGAAAATTCAGGAAACCAGAGCTCAACCAGCAGACTGGGCTTTCCTGTAGATTTTCCGCTAAGGAAAATTCGCAAGAAAATCATTAGGCCTTTTAATGTTGTTTGCCATCTTCAAACCCCATTCTGGGACCACATTTCATCAGAAAAACCAAGATATATCATGATATCAGGATGAAGCGCTTTGTGGGATAAAGAATAATTCCCAAGATTTCCCGGAGGATTGTGATGGATGCTTGCGCCCAACCAGCATACATTGGACCTGGCACTAGAATTCTCCCAAAATGGCCATATCATAGGAATGACAATGATCAACCAGAAAATAAAGGTAGGATAAGGTAGGTATGCCAACATTGTCAAACAAAAACTGTTTGCATACAAAAAAATGGCTCACGACCCTTCGCGGTGCACAAAAATCGCAAGCAACTCGCAGTTCCAGTGGACGTCCACTGAGAAGAGTTAGCGTGAGAAGAGTTAGCGTGAGAAGAGTTAGCGTGGCTCAAAATGGGGTGCATTTGCTACATTGGGATGCCAAAGAGAATAGAAAGTTTATGAAACTTTGTCATTCTCGTGATAGCAACATGTAGCAAGTGACTTGAGGCCATACAAAGTGGTGCCCCTCAGTCATAAGTTGGGAACTCCAAACTCAGCTATCAATACTTGGTGGTTTATTTATGCCTATAAATGCTGTTTATCTATCTAATCCCAAAGCGGCTGAACATCTATGAAACATCTACTATCATGTGATTGGGCAGTCTTAGTAGCTCCTTGCCTCCCGTTTCAATAGGGAATGTAAATACCCATAACTTCTTAGCCCCCTCCCAAGCACCGGATAGTGTCTGAATCTAAATGCCTTCAATCCAGACTATTTGGTGGTTCACCCCGGAACTGCTTGGCAAGGAACTGGTTAATAGGACCCGGCCAGGTCCTGTCTGTGCAGCGGCAGCTGCGACAGCGGCGACAGCTGCCTCGGTATTGGTGGGATTTGATGGGTATATTTTGGGTATACAGTATTGCAGGAGTCACCCGTCACCCATGATCAGTATAAATAGATAGATGGTGATACTAATGATACTAATAGTTTGTAAAAGGATCATAGTAACAAACAATAAACAATTATGATCAATGTAAAGAACCGCTAAGTATTGATGGGGCAACCCGAACTGCCATGGCCAGCCCCAGCTGAGTATGACACCTTCTGGGCGGCCTGCGCCTGCTGCTGTGCTTGCTGCGCTTGCACCTGTTGCGCTTGCGCCTGCGCCTGCTGCACCTGCTGCGCTTGCTGCTGTGCCTGAGCTTGCGCCTGCGCCTGCTGCGCCTGCGCATCAGCACCGGGCATGGCACCTGAAACACGGGAAAAAACTCAGAAGAAAAGACTCGCAAAACATATCAAAACAGTCTCTCTGAAGAGAACTGCAGCTTCAGAGAAATCTGTGGCTTACTGACCTGGAAACTGGTTGGTTTTCCCATTACAAATCCCATATGGCATCCCCCGGCCTGCCATCATTGCTGACATGTCCCTGACAGCGGTGCTGCTAGAAAGCAGAAAAATTGTCTCGGTGTAGCAATGGTTTTTCTCTGAAAATTTAAGGGAAACCTTCCCAAGTCCATCCAGATTCAATGGTTTTACATGTTTTTTTGCTCACTAACGTGGCTATTTCGGGGTATACCACATGTGTAAACGCCCCTACATACTGGGATAATCATCTAAGTACTACAAGTAGTCATAGTCATGTCGTTGCTCCTATTGGATCCTATTGGCACATGGACTGGAGCTTTGACTCTACCTCACCATTTTTCACCAGTTTTTTTACAACTTCTCATCATTCCTTATCAATGTACAAAAAAAAAGTAAATTGTTTTGCCAATCAGGATGAAAGATAAGGCACACATATTATGAATTGAAGGCCTTCTTGTGTAGATTCTTAACAATTGTTATATGTGTGCCTTCAGGATCTACTCCCGAAAAAAGAGCTATACAAGATGCTGCATAATCTGCTGGATCAGCGTTTCTAATAGAAGCTATGACGGCAGCTTTTGGAGCTGGTCTTCCAACAGCAACAAGATCTATGACCTTCAAGAGTTTTCTCTCTGGGATCCAATTCATCCAATTCCATTGATGAAGTGGAAGTGGAGTGGAGTCCTTCCTGCTACGATAGTTCTTGGCAAAATTGTGTCAAGCTCATCGACCTGCCTGCGAAAAAACCATGGGATGGGACATCCAATGGAAATGTCCCTTTGTACTGCTGAGTGTGTGATGGACATTGCAGTGCTTCCTATTGGCATAGTGCCGTCTATTCTATTGGCAAAAACCTCAACCTTTAGTGGCATAGTGATCCCTTTCCCCTCATATGAACCAAGACCATAAACCATGGCGGTTTGTTGGGGATTTACATAGGGGATTTACGAATATATGTGGGACCAATAAACCATGGGGATGGGATGCCACCAACTGTCCCAGCAAAAACTGAGTTCACAGCATTCCCATTGGATAGCCCATGGGCCTCAAAATCGTCGGGAGCACGAGAAACTCAGGGACAAGTCACAGACCAAAAAAACTTGGGGTCTCAACCACTACAAACATGACTTTTTTGAATCACGCATGTGTTCTTGCTATAAATCCGCCGACCCCGGCCTTGGCCAAGGCAGGGGCGGCGCCTGGGACCACCGCAGGTGTGGAACTTCTCCTTCTTCGCTTTCCAAGGTCAAACCCATCTCGCAGCCAGCAAGCTGCCCCAAGGCCACATCGCGTAAACATTTTCCTGGCATGCTTCGTCCTCCAGTTAAGACTTCCAGGCATTTGGACATGAAAATTACATGCTTTCCTTACAACGCTGACTTGGCATGCTTCATCCTGCAGCCAACAGCCACCCCGAGGCCACACATCCGTGGCTTCTTATGGGCCGCTTAAACAATCCCTTGGCATGCTTCATCCTGCAGCCAACAGGCACCCCAAGGCCACACATCAACGGCTTCTTATGGGCGTCCAAGCCTGCCGTTTGCCAGCCCTTAAACCCTTAAAACCCTCCAAACCCTCCAAACCCTTAAAAACCTTAAAACCCTTAAAACGCTGACTTGGCAACCCTCCCCCAAGGCCACACATCAATGGCTTCTTATGGGCGTCCAAGCCTGCTGTTTGCCAGCCCTTAAACCCTCCAAACCCTCCAAACCCTTAAAAACCTTAAAACCCTTAAAACGCTGACTTGGCATGCTTCATCCTGCAGCCAACAGCCACCCCGAGGCCACACATCAATGGCTTCTTATGGGCCCCTTAAACAATCCCTTGGCATGCTTCACCCTTAAAACTGTCTTGGCATCATCCTGCAGCCAACAGCCACCCCGAGGCCACACATCAATGGCTTCTTATGGGCCGCTTAAACAATCCCTTGGCATGCTTCACCCTTAAAACTGTCTTGGCATGCTTCATCCTGCAGCCAACAGCCACCCCAAGGCCACACATCAATGGCTTCTTATGGGCCGCTTAAACAATCCCTTTGCATAACAATCCCTTGGCATGCTTCATCCTGCAGCCAACAGGCACCACAAGGCCACACATCAATGCCTTCTAATGGGCGTCCAAGCCTGCCGTTTGCCAGCCCTTAAACCCTTAAAACCCTCCAAACCCTTAAAAACCTTAAAACCCTTAAAACGCTTACTTGGCATGCTTCATCCTGCAGCCAACAGCCACCCCAAGGCCACACATCAATGGCTTCTTATGGGCCGCTTAAACAATCCCTTGGCATGCTTCATCCTGCAGCCAACAGCCACCCCAAGGCCACACATCAATGGCTTCTTATGGGCCGCTTAAACAACCTCCCTTGGCATGCTTCATCCTGCAGCCAACAGGCACCCCAAGGCCCACAACATAACAATCCCTTGGCATGCTTCATCCTGCAGCCAACAGGCACCCCAAGGCCACACATCAATGGCTTCTTATGGGCGTCCAAGCCTGCCGTTTGCCAGCCCTTAAACCCTTAAAACCCTCCAAACCCTTAAAAACCTTAAAACCCTTAAAACGCTTACTTGGCATGCTGCAGCCAGCAGCCACCCCAAGGCCACACATCATCCTGCAGCCAACAGCCACCCCAAGGCCACACATCAATGGCTTCTTATGGGCCGCTTAAACAATCCCTTTGCATAACAATCCCTTGCATGCTTCATCCTGCAGCCAACAGGCACCCCAAGGCCACACATCAATGGCTTCTTATGGGCCGGCTTGGCGCATTAAACAATCGTCCTTTGCCAGCATAACAATCCCTTGGCATGCTTCATCCTGCAGCCAACATCCTTGGCATGCTTCATCCTGCAGCCAACAGGCACCCCAAGGCCACATCAATTGCTTCTTTGGGCGCTTAAAATCCCTTTGCATAACAATCCCTTGGCATGCTTCATCCTGCAGCCAACAGGCACCACAAGGCCACACATCAATGCTTCTATGGGCGTCCAAGCCTGCCGTTTGCCAGCCCTTAAACCCTTAAAACCCTCCAAACCCTTAAAAACCTTAAAACCCTTACTTGGCATGCATCCTGCAGCCAACAGCCACCCCAAGGCCACACATCAATGGCTTCTTATGGGCCGCTTAAACAATCCCTTTGCATAACAATCCCTTGGCATGCTTCATCCTGCAGCCAACAGGCACCCCAAGGCCACACATCAATGGCTTCTTATGGGCCGCTTAAACAATCCCTTTGCATAACAATCCCTTGGCATGCTTCGTCCTGCAGCCAACAGGCACCCCAAGGCCACACATCAATGGCTTCTTATGGGCGTCCAAGCCTGCCGTTTGCCAGCCCTTAAACCCTTAAAACGCTCCAAACCCTTAAAAACCTTAAAACCCTTAAAACGCTTACTTGGCATGCTTCATCCTGCAGCCAACAGCCACCCCAAGGCCACACATCAATGGCTTCTTATGGGCCGCTTAAACAATCCCTTGGCATGCTTCATCCTGCAGCCAACAAGCACCCCAAGGCCACACATCAATGGCTTCTAGGGGGGGTCGGCGGCACCCGGGCGCTAGCCCATTCTATAACCAACACAAGGATTGGGATAGAAACCAAGAGACGTCATGTTTCAGAAGTCGTGAGGTCACCAAGCACAATCGCACTACCAGGCCAGGCTTCTGGCATACCCATCATGCCAGCCATTGGATTCATCATCGAACCTCGGTCTCCAATGTGTCGGGTTTTCCGATGACTCCAATGTGTTTTTCTTGACATCTGATGACTGTCTGACCGTCCAGAAATGGGGAAAATCAACATGTTTGATAGGTAAATCATCATGGAATTATCCTCTACTATAAATGGACCATTTTCCATAGCCATGTTAAGCCAGAGGGTAATGGAAAAAACGACAATAAGCCATGGGGGTGCCCTCCTTTTCGGTCAACTCCAGGGTTTTCTGGGTGAACGCCCTGATATGCCCTGAGAGTCTGGCCAAAAAGCATGGCCTGCGCCTGCGCCTGCGAGATGCTTGAGCAGTGTGGTTGTATCCTGGTTGTATACTTGGAAGTGCACACCAGAGTTATAGGGCCTAATATCCCAACTTCTGGGGGTTTCATAAATATAGATATTCCTAACATATCTTGGTTTTAACCATTGATATACTATAGATATACTATAGATAATCCTAACTGCCCCAAGTATCTCCAGTGACCAGGGCCTCGGTCACTGGACAACTTCCCAACTTCCGGCCTCCTGTTGTGCCACCGCAGCCTACCAT